TAAACTAGCTTGGCAGGGGGCATGGGACTCTGAATAAGAGAGGGACCATTGAGGGGTCACGGGAAAATACATTAGCCGTCGAGAACAAGTCTACTATTCAGGATAGCCAGGGGCACAGTAAAGGGAGGGAAAAGACTTCCGGTTTAATGTGAATTTATTTCAACACGAGGCCTGACTGGTAAGGCCGATGAGCTCAGAGCATGGCTTGGCTCTGGGGACTGGGATATTATAGCCATAACAGAAATATGGCTGACAGAAGGGCAGGACTGGCAGCTCAATGTTCCAGGATATAGAAGCTACAGGCATGACAGAAGTACACGTAAGCAAGGAGGGAAAATTGCCCTTTTTATAAAAGAGAGGTCATAACAACAGTTCTTAGAGAGGATGTACTTAAGGGGTCATCAAATGAGGCCATATGGTGAGAACTTAGAAACAAGAAGGAGATGGTCACTCTATTGGGTCTGTATTATAGACTCCCAAATAGCCAGCAGGTACTATAGGAACAGATGTGTAGAGAGATTGCAGATACCTGTCGGAATAGCAGAGTAGCATTGGTCGGAGATTTTAACTTCCCGTGTTGACTGGGCTACTCAGGGTGTAAAAGGCCTGGATGGGGTGGAATTTGTCAAATGTATCCAAGAATGTTTCCTAAATCAATATGTAGGGGGTCCTACTCAAGAGGGTGCAACACTGGATCTCCTTTTAGGAAACGAGGTCAGGCAAGCGACTGAAGTGTCAGTCAGAGAGCACTTTGGGTCCAGTGACCATAATTCTCTTAGTTTTAACATAGTTATAGAAAAAAATAGGACAGGTCCACAGGTTAAGGTGCCAAACTAGAGTAGGGCCAATTTCGGGACATTAGGCAGGATTTTGCAGAAGTTGAGTGGATGAGACGGTTTGAAGGAAAAGGAACGACTGGCAAATGGGAGGCTTTTAAAAGTGTGATATCAAGAATCCAGGGACAATATGTCTCTGTTACGGTAAAGGGAAAAGATGGCAGGTTTAGACATCCCTAGCTGACAAGGGATATTGAGATTCTGGCCAGGAAAAAAAGGAAGGTAAAGACTGGGTTTAAGCTTTCAGGCTCAAGTGAATCCCTACATGACTATAAAGAGTGTAAGAGCACACTTAAGAGGGAAATCAGAAGAGAAAAAAAAAGAGTATGAGATGGATCTGACAGTTAAGGTTAAAGATAATCCCACAAGGTTCTATAGCTTGAGAACAGGTTCCCTTACAGATCAGCATGACCATCGAAGCGTGGAACCACAGGAGATGGGGGGAGATTTTTAATGAATATTTCTCTTCAGTGTTTACTGAGGAGAGAATCATGGATGCTCAGGAAATGAGGGAAATAAGTGGGGATGTTTTGGACTGTATGCATATTACCAGAGAGGAGCTATTTGAACCTTAAAGCGCATTGAGGTGGATAAATCCCCTGAGCCTAATGAAGTCCATCCTCAGATCTTGTGGGAGGCTAGGGAAGAAATTGCAGAGGCCCTTGCAGAGATTTTTGCTTCATCTTTAGTGACTGGTGAAATTCCGGAAGACTGGACTGTGGCTAATGCTGTTCCATTGTTTAAGAAAGGTAGCAAAGACAAGCCAGGGAACTACAGGCCAGTAAGCCTGACGTCAGTGGTAAGAAAGTTATTGGAGAGGATACTGAGGAACAGGATCAACCAACATTTGTCCCTAATCAGACCATGACTATCCAGTCATCATGGATTTGTGCGTGGGATGTCATGTCTGATAAATCTATTACAATTTTTTGAAAAGGTACCCAAGAGGATAGATGAGGGTAGGGCATGCATGTTGTCCATATGGACTTTAATGATCCCTTTGACAAGGTCCCGCATGGCAGGCTAGTCATGAAAGTTAGGTCGCGTGGGATCCAGGGAGAGCTAGCTAATTGGATTCAAAATTGACTCAATGGTAGGAAGCAGAGGGTGATGGCTGAAGGTTGTTTCTTGGACTGGAGGCCTGTGACTAGTGGTGTGCCACAGGGGTGGTGCTGGGACCTTTGTTATTTGTTATCTATAAAAATAATCTGGATGTGAATGTACAAGACTTGATTAGTAAGTTTGCGAATGATACAAAACTAGGCAGTTTCGTTGATAGCAAGGAAGGTTATCAAAAATTACAGAGGGATCTTGATCAGATGGGGAAGTAAGTTGAGGATTGGCAAATGCAATTCAATGCAGATAAGTGTGAGGTGTTGCACTTTGAAAAGTCAAACCAAGGTAAGTCTTATACAGTAAATGGTAAGGTCCTGAGGAGTGTTGTGGAACAGAGGGACCCAGGAGTACAAGTACATAGTCCATTGAAATCAGCGTAGACAGGGTAGTGAATAAGGCATTTAGCATGCTGGCCTTCACTGGTCAAGGCATTGAGTATAGGAGTTGAGACGTTATGTTACAGTTGCGTAAGTCGTTGGTGAGGCCGCACTCGGAGTATTGTGCACAGTTTTGGTCACCCTGTTATAGGAAAGACATAGTTAGACTGGAAAGTATCCAAAGAAGATTTACGAGGATGTTGCCAGGACTGGTAGGCCTGAGTTATATGGAGAGGTTGGGCTGGATGGGACTTTATTCCTTGGAACATAGGAGAATAAGGAGTGACCTTATTGAGGTTTATAAACTCATGAGAGGCATGGATAGGATGAATGTATATATTCTTTTTCCCAGGGATGGGGAACTGAAAACTAGAGGGCATAGGTTTAAGGTGAGGGGGAAAAGATTTAAAAAGGACCTGAGGGGCAATTTCTTCACACAGAGGGTGGTGCGTATATGGAATGGGCTGCCAGATAAAGTGGCTGAGGCAGGTACAAAAGCAACATTTAAAACACATTTGGATAGGTAAATAGATGGGAGGGGTTGAGAGGGATACGGACCAAATGCAGGCAACTGGAACTAGCCGAGTGGGCACCATGGTCAGCTTGGACCAGTTTGGGCTGAAGGGCCTGTTCCCATGCTGTATTACTCAATGACTCTAACTAGTGCTCCCCTGTCTGTTCTACTAGTTTACTGAGAATGTTACATCAGTAGGTTTGTCAAATGTCATTTCCCTTTCAGAAATCCATGCTGGATTTGTGAAATCTCATTGCATGTCCTGACATTACACCTTTTTAATAGGCCAGCATTTTCTCTACTCCTAGGATCAGGCTAAACAGTCTATATTTCCCTGTTCCAACATTTCAGGTCCCGTGACCCTTACTCAGAACAGGACTGGAAATGTGAAGGGTCACTGGACCCGAAATGTTAACTCTGATTTCTCTCCACAGGTGCTGCCAGACCTGCTGAGTTTTCCGACAATTTCTTGTTTCGGAGTTCTAGCATCTCCAGATCTTTCTATTCTTATTTTGTATGTTGCTGTTGTCTCCTTCACTCCTTTTTTTAAAACAGCGGGGTTACCTTTGTCTGGATCTTTGCCAGATTTGTTCCAGTATCGACAGAATTTCAGAAGATAACAACCAACGCATCCACTATTTTCATGGCCACCTCATTTAGTAACCTGAGATGCAAATTCAGACCTTGGGAATTTATCACCCTTCAGTCCCATTAATTTTTCCAGTACTTCTTTCTTTAAATAATACTAATTTCCTTAAATTTGTCCTTCCTAATAGAAACTTGCTTCCTTGGCATTTCTGGGAAGTTATGTATGCCTTCTTCTGTGAATCCTGAACTAAAGTAGTTGCTCAATTGCACCAATTTCTTTGATCTCCATTACCAATTCACCCATTTCAGGATATAAAGGACCTGGCAATTATCTTCACTAATATTTTCCTTTTCATATATTGATAGGCACTCTTACAGTCTGCTGTTATGTTCTTTGCAAGTTTATTGTCATTCTATTTTTCTGCTCTTCAACAATCTTTTGGTCACCGTTTGCTGAACTCTAAACGCATTCCAATCCGCAGGTTTGCTAGTTTTTCCAGCAATTTTATATAACCTCTCTTTGGAACTAATACTAACTTATTTTGTTAGCCACATGTTATTTTGCCTATAATGGAAAGAATGACTGTTGCAACGCATGCAGTCATTCCCAAACATTAGCCATGCCTACCTATGTCATTTTTTCTAAGTGAAGTTACTCAATCTATTGCAACTCATCCCTCAAATCTAAACAAAGGAAACTACAAAGGTATAAGAACCTAGTTTCAAATTATGCCACTTCATTTTTTCCTCCCATTAAGGAGTTCCATCAGGTCATGATCACTTTTCCCAACAACCTCACACAAGATTATTAATGAACCCTTTCTCATTTCACAAAATCAAATCTAGGGTAGCCTGTTCCTTCGGCAGTTCCTGTACGTACGGGTCTAAGAGTCCTGTACGTAGTCTAATAATTACACTGTGCCAAATTAATTCCTGAGGTGGTTTAACCAGTTTAAATGTAGATTACAGTCACCAGTGATTATAACAGCCTCTTGTTGTATGAATGTCTAATTTGCTGTTGAATGCAATCTCTACCTACTGTTTTGAGGCCTATACTCAACTCCCACTAACTTTTTTTTCACTCCTTGTTGCTTCTTGATTCCACCCAGATTTATTCTGTATCTACATTTTCTGAACCAATATCCGTTCTCACTATTGCACTCATTTCACTAACAATGCCACCCATCTCCTTTTCCAATTTGCCTGTTGTGCTTAAAGATACAATACCCTCTGATGCTCAGTTCCCGCCTTAGTCACCCTATTGCTATGCTCTATAATCACAACCATACTGTACCTGTTTACAATTATTTGTGCTGTTTATTGTCTATTTTATTGAGTAAATGGAACATTTACATATATAGTACCTTTAAGTTTGTCTTTTTAACATTTGTACACTTTTTTTTTGTATTACAGCCTTAAGAAGAGTGAGTAGGAGGACAGTATCATAAGGTAGCCAACCTCTCTAAAAATTATTCTCATTCCAGGTTCAGAACTTGGACTGAAAAAATATAACATTCATTCCGAAGGTGCACTTACTGCTTTTCTAAATCAGAACACTGTAATACTCACATGAAGATAACACTTCAGTAATGTTGTATCAATGATCTGGAGCAATTTTTTCTTGGACTTGATGATTGGTGTTCCTTCCACCAGGGGTGACGTGGTAGAAGGTTCTGAATCATGCAATTGCTTTACCAGATGGGTTCGTTTCTTGGCAGAAATGCAAAAATTATAAACATGTTAAAGAAGGACCACATGATTTCAAGAATGTTGGCTTTAAATCCACTGTGTGTTTTACTGTGAGATCACTATACGCTTCATTCCACTGTTCACAGTAGACGCTTGCCCACATCAAATTCTGCACATCTTCTCACAGGTGGGTACAAAGTACCTCAAGTCCAATGATATTCACTAACACCAGGAAGCATACCAATCTTTCCAGTTATCTCCAAATCCTAGGGTACTTCCACACTGCTGCATAAATAAGATTCCTGCATCACCCACTCCACATGGCATAATCATGTCAAGCAAATCAGCCTACTGATCCAAGTTCTTTTCTTTATGCTAAGTATTGAACAAATCCAGCTCCTTTCCAGGTACATTTACTTTGGGCAGGTCTTGAGCTCACAGGCACATTCATTCACAAGGGGTTATGTATATGCCCTACATCTTCTTTCTAGGTTCATATAAATCCATTAGGTCGAAACACATGGGTATATTTACCTGTGTCAAGTAGTCTATAAGTGCTAAGTGTGCTTTCTCCAGTTCTGCGGTGGATAGTGTGGGAAGAGGATTTGGATACTGAAGTTGTTTCCTGTAGTCAGCTGGCAACAGGTCTGGATACAGCCCAATTACATGAGTGGGATCTGAAAAATCAAATACAAAAAAGTTAATGAAGTGTATGTAGTGAATTTAATTCAACTCTACTTGGAAACAAAATCTGTCCAACAACTTTAGCAGAGACTATCACAGAGCCATAGAATTAGACAACATGGAAACAGACCCTTCGGTCCAACTCGTCCATGCTGACTAGATATCCCAAATAAATCTAGTCCATTGGCTAGCATTTGACTCTTATCCCTCTAAACCCTTCCTATTCATATACCCATCCAGATGCCTTTTAAGTATTGTAATTGTACCAGCCTCCACCACTTCCTCTGGCAGTTCATTCCATACATGCACCATCCTCTGCATGAAAAAGTTGCCCCTTAGGTCCCTTTACAATCTTTTCCTTCTCACGTTGAACCTATGCCCTCTAGTTTTGGACTCTCCCACCCCCGGGGAAAAGACCTTGCCTATTCATCCTATCCATGCCCCTCATGATTTTATAAACCCCTATAAAGGTCACCCCTCAGGGAAAATATCCCCAGCCTATTCAGCCTCTCCCTATTGCTCAAACCCTCCAATCCTGGCAACAGCCTTGTAAACCTTTTCTGAACCCTTTCGAGTTTCACAACATCCTTCCAATAGCAGGGAAACCAGAACTGAATGCAATATTCCAAGAGTGGCCTAACCAATGTCCTGTACAGCTACAACATGACCTCCCAACTCCTACACTCAATGCACTGACCAATAAAGGCAAGCATACCAAACACCTTCTTCACTATCCTGTCTACCTGCGACTCTACTTTCACAGAACAATGAACCTGCACTCTAAGGTCTCTTTGTTCAGCAACACTCTCCAGAGCTTCACTATTAAGTGCATCAGTACTGCCCTGATTTGCCTTTCCGAAATGCAGCACTTCACATTTATCTAAATTAAATTCTATTTGCCACTCATCGGCCCATTGGCCCAACTGATCAAGGTCCTGTTGAACTCTGAGGCGACATTCTTCAGTGTCATATCTTGAAATGTTCAAATTCAGTGCTTCTCACTGCTTAAAAAGTGAACATCCAAATATGTTTCAAAACTCTTCAGTTTGCAGATAATTTCATAAGTTAACCATCCCTCCAATTCCATTAACGCATCAAATTTGTAGTGTTACCACCTTGCCTTGTATTCTCACATGTTGACATTAAAACCATCATAGAGCTGTTGACTCTAAATTAATTTCCAAGGTCTCCAAATACAATACTATCTTCTTTCTCTCTCCTTCTCCTTTTCAACAGAAGCAGCATTAAAATATAAGTTCAGTGTCAGTGATCAACAATTCATGCTTATTGGAATTGATGAATGGAATGAAATGAAAGCAATAAGAAATATTTTATTAGAGAAAATATCAATTCTTTCTTTTCTTTTGAGCCTTAATTCTGTACTGCACTGTAAATATAGTTGATCCAAGTTTTAAACAATAAAGCCATGTTCTCACCTGTGCCAAGCTTAGCAAAGACCTGCATGGAGTCATCAAAGCGTTTTTGGCAAAACAGATTAAATGCAAACAGATTCTGAATATGGTGAATCTGCTGCCACTTATCACTGTCGGAGTCATCTTTCATTTTCTGAAACAAAAACAGCAACTCTTCAGACAAATACTCAAGTATGGGTGGCCTGTCATGGTTTTTTTCCTAAAGTTTCAAATCATCACAGGACACCCAGCACCCAAAAACAACATTGAATTGAATAAGTGGATTTTGGAACGGAAAAGGTTAATGCAAGACTCAGTCTTGCTCTGTCCTCTACTCAATCTCCAATTTGCCTGATATTTGCTTCTCTGTTCCTCGTTTGAGGTGCTCCTCAAAACCTGCATTTCCAGCTTTTGGTCAAATGGCGTGATATCTCCATATGTAGCTTGATGTCTTATTTGTATATATTATGTTTCTGTGCACATCAGAATATTTTACCACCTAACGAAAGCACTCAGGATATCAAGCACAGAAAACAATATATTTCTTCAGTTTGAGTGAGTCCTGACATAATTGGACAATGGACTAGGGAATAACCTACTTTGTCCTTAGAATTCTGCCTGCGGTGAATACATTTGTCTGTTGGTAGGACTGACCGCTGTAAATTACTTGTGTGGTCTAAGTTCTATATTCAGAAGGAGGGAACACTCCACCTCACCATGTTTCATTAATGCCATATTACGTGGAATAGATTAATAACAGATTTAGAACCTAAACTTGAGCATTTATGAGCTACTGTAGGTCACCTGGCACCAGAAGCAGAACTGTACACAATGATCAGAAACATCCCTCACTCATATCATCACAATCAAGCCTGATGACCAAATCTTGCACAATGAGCTGTGTAGAAGAGCTGAAAATAAGACGGGCTGTGGAAGTTGCATGTTATAAAGAGAGAGAAACAATCCCACAAATAATAGATTAGGTCAAAGTTTTGCAGTGCAGCCACATTCAGTTGAGAATAGAGTGTAGTTAAGCAACAATGAAAGGTAGAAGTTCCATGAGAACCCCCATCCTAAATAAAGGTGGAGCTCTGCACTTGAATGTAAACCACAAGGTTGAAGCATTCATTAGCACCCTCAGACAGAGTTCTAAATGGATGATTCTTGACCTCCTCTTGAAGTCCTCACCATCACAGATGCCATTTATACTAATGATTGTGTTCCAGGAATAAATGCATCCCTAGCCAAGCAGTTCCAGTACAGTCACAAAATCACCATCTACCCAATAACATGGAAAATATGCAAGGTACTTCTTGTTCACAGAAAACAAAATCAGCTAATTATCACCATATCAGCATATTTTCACAGGAGTTGGAAGGTGTACCTGACAGCATTACCAAGCAGCACTTATGCAGCAATAACCCACTGATCAATGTTCTTTTTGGTCACACCAGTACAACTTGTTTAAATACCTCATCACAGACACAGAAGAAAAGTCCAAATACAGTCAAAAGTGCCAAAATTCAGAGGACAGATGAAAGCAACTGTATTTTCCATTAAGGCAGTACTTAACTCAGTGTGGTACCTTCTGTGTCAAACAGTTGATAGGCAGCATAGAAAAACTCAGTGGCCGGAATCATAAGGAAAGTAGTTGTTCCAGGATATCATCCTCAAGCTCCTCAATGCAATGTCCTAAGTCCAATTATCTTTTAGTTGCTTCATCAATGACCTTTTCTTCATTACAAGGCGAGAAGTGGAAATGTTAGCTGATGATTGTGAACTGTATTCAGGTCTATTTACAATTCCATATCTGATAAAACCATCCATGTCCAGATGCAAGAAAATGTGGGCAAGACCCAGGCTCCAGACACCAGGAAAAAAAAAATAATTTTGACTCAGGAAATAAAAATGACTCATCCAAAATGACATAAGCAAAATAAAAGCACTGACAAAAATAATTGCATTAAAGAATGGCAAATTCCCAGAATTTGATAGTTTTCATTCCAGACTATAAAATAGTGAAAACACTACCGATGTCTGAATTGCAATCTCCCAATGCAGGAACTGCACCTTTAACTCAGGTAAATTGCCTATGACACTCTGCTATTTAAGAATATGAGAGGGAAAATAGGAAATCATAGATTAGCTAGCCTAACATACATGTTCCAAAATTGCTAGGGTTTAAAAGTAATGACTGAGCACTTTGAAAATTTTTATTATATATTAGAACAAGTAAGCATGAATTTCTAAGGAGTAGGTTGTGTCTGACAAACCTGATTGAAGTTCATTGATGAGATGACAAAATAGTTGATGGGAAATACCTATGGATTTTATTCATAAGGATTTCCAAAAAGGAATTTGATAACGTGCCTCATTAGACACTTCTACTTAATGTTGTGACATTGGGTTTCAGGCTTTCCTACATATCACCGAATATCAAATTGGTTATCTATCATTGTCTGGGAGAAAAAGAGTAGCATTGGCCAATAATGTGCACGGTTCATCAAGCAGGAATAAGTGTGGAAGCTTGCACTTGGATTGGGAAAACAAATTCCTGAGGATTTGAGATGACATTGGAAGATTCCCTTACTGCACACCACAATGAGAACCTCCACAGAAGAGAATCTCACTGTGAAGGACAGTTTTGAGATTACAAATCATCAGGTTGTGAAAGGAAAAGAACAAAAGCAAACCCTCGGGAGCCAAGAAACTCCTTGGACTGGCTCTTGAAGCATTAAATGTCTCTTTAAATGACAATGTAACGTATACCTGTGAAAGTTATTGTAAAATTAAAATAGCTACATCTATTACAGAAGCTTTCCTTTAAGTGAGGACTTACCTGTGAATTCTGTGCAAGGGTAAAACATGTTAACTTTTATGTCACTGCTGATAAATAAATAAATTTACAAGTTGGCACTAAGAAAACAAATAGTTGAAGCATTGCCTCAATATCTGCAGCTTGAGGAAGAGGAGATTAATCTATGTAAAATGCTGACTAAATTAGTTGGGATTCAGTTATAAATGAAGCAGCTCAAAATGGAAAGCGGAAGAGAATTAAACAAAAATTAGTAAATGAAACAGCTAGAATTTGAATTCCAAGAAGGAAAATCAGAAGACACGGAAAGTAATAACAGAAAAGCTAAAATGTTTCAAAGTAAGAGAAAAGGAAATCCTTGAATTAAAAGGAAAAAGGGAATCCAAGAAATTTGAAATGGAAAGGCTTTCATTACATGGACTAGGACTAGCAGGAAGTCTTGCTGAAGGATCAGATTTAACTTGGAGTTTTGATTTGGCAACATATACCTAACACTTATATTCAACAGGGAGAGTGTTGAAACATATTTTGTCTTATTTGAAGTTCTCGGAAAACTGAGGGTTTGAGATATAAAAATAGACTGGAACAACTGGGACCTTTTTCACTGGAGCATAGGAGGTTGAGGTGTGATCTTATTGAGGTTTATAAAATCATGATGGGCACAGAGAAGGTGAACAACAAAGGTTTTTTCTCTGGAATCGAGGAATTCAAAGCTAGGGGGTTTTTTTTTTAACAGTAAGAGGAGAAAGATTTAAAAAGAACATGAGGGGCAACTTTTTCATGCAGTCATTCATGTTTGGAATGAGCTGCCAGAGGAAGTGGTAGAGGCGGATACAATTATGACATTTAAAAGGCATCTAGACGCGTACATGAATAGGAAAGGTTTGGAGGGATATGGGCCAAGCACAGACAGGTGGGGCTAATTTAATTTGGGAACATGTTTGGTGTGGACAGGTTGAACTGAAGAGTCATACATCATGGAAACACACCCTATGACTCTATCTGTTTCCAGACTTCTGTCTTCATTTGATTCAGAAAAATTTCTCCACCCTCTTCGCTCCAAGCTGCATCATACCATTCATGCCACTGTACTGAATTGCATGTATTGATCTGTCTTATCTGTACCTTGATCATTTCTTCCTTGAATGTGCCTTAATTTGTCTCTGGCTGTAACAGTTTTTATATTCTAATTTTATACAATCAAATACACCTTGTTCTTTATAAATATATTCAGTAAAAATTATGTGGAGTAGTCTGGTATATACTTCACGTCTCTCAACGTGACAAGGAACACATTAGTTAACCATTGATCCTAGGCCATGAATTGACATAATACTGCAAAATTGCAGTCAAAGGTCATTGAATAGTCAGGATCATTTCACCTAATAAATGCAGGAAGAGACATGGAGCAAGAACCTTGAATACACATAGAACTTTCGGGATAATTTCAAAAGACATGCAATTGTGAAAGTAAATGTTGTAAATACTTACAGCAAGCTGCAAGGCCAATTCAAATTGCTTGTCCTGAAGAAGCTGTCGGATCTGAGTTGCAATTGAAACCGGTACCAGTCGCCATACAAAGTGATTGCTAGCCACATAAACAATGTTAGGCCTGGGAAATGGTGACCAGTAGGAGAGAAAGACAGGCAAAGAAATCAACATTGGATCGTTCATTACAACTATCCAGCTAGCTGGTTTAATCATAAATGTCACCAGGTGATCACTATTTCATCATTAATCTATTTCTGTAAGTTGAGGGCTCTTGTGGTGTAGTGGTAGTGTCCTTGCGTTTGAGTGAAGAGGCCAGGGTTCAAGTCCCACATGCTCCAGAGATGTGTTGTAACATCTCTGAACAGGTTGATTACAAAATATATATTTTTGTGAGATGGTAAGCTACCTTCTTAGAAAAAGAAGAGCAGTCAGTTGGAATCAGCTTGATATTTGCATGCTTCTGGTGTTCATTTGCTCATTACTTTGACAAACCACACCATTCTTTAAAGCAAGAAAGTGCAACATCATAATTCAATCAGTAGTGGTAGATATAGACATCTAGGCCACTGTTTCTCTTTGACTGCTAAAACAATGTTGATCTTATGGCTGAGTGGAAAGTAGCCACAGAATGAAGATGGCTGAAGCAAAATAAGACTCAGACTGCCTGTTGTGTTGCGATACAGAAAGATGACATCAGTGTGGAAATAGGGAAGAAATTAAAGATTTACTCACTTACTGATTTGTACGAATGTGAGGTAATATAGTAGATTTAAAAAACAGCAACACAAATAAGCTTCTGGAATATAAAGCCAAGGGATGATAAATAGCCCTTATATTATTGGAATAAGTTTTATTGTGCTATGTAAACTATTGGCTCCACACTACAGGAACAATATTGAGGTTATATAGACTGCTGTGCATGTCTCATTATTTCACATGTATAAATATGCATTCTGCAGGTAACAGTAACATTGAGTGCAAACAATGTTGCCATTGAGCTGAGAATAAGCACTGCCATCTAGAGGATGTGGAGGTGTTCTGCCATATTAAATACCGTACCTGCAGGTTGTTGAGAAGATTAAAGGTACCACACATTAAATAAATCAGCTACATACAACAAAACTGTATCATCAGCAACAGAACAGTATTATTGATTAATGTATAAAAGTATATAGATATTACATATACTATATAAAATTTGGAACAGTCTTGACAAGGTGCACATGGAAAGGATGATTTCTTTTGTGGATGAGTCCAGAATTGGGGGGGTACTATTTGAAAATTAGAGTGCACCCTTTTAGGATGGAGATGAGAGACTTTGACCTCTCAGGTCTTAAGGCAGGGTATGTGGGGAGGAAATCAATAAATATTTTTAAAGGTAGAGATAGATAGTTTCTTGTTAGGCAAGGGAACCGAAGATCATTACGGTTAGATGGGAATATGAAATTCAGAACACAAACAAATCAAAATATTTTACTGAATGGCATTACAGGCTCAAGGGGCTGAATGGGCCACTTCTGCTCCTAATTCGTATGTTCATATGTACTCACTTTAGTAATTTGTGGCAATGCATTCAAATCCCCATTCCATAGGGCACTTCAATTTTCAAGCTATATAATGATTTTGCTCCCAGTTGACAAAAACAGCCTGCCTGGAAGGAGCAACTTCCTGAAACAAAAAAACCCGAAAGAACTGCAGATGCTGGAAATCAGAAACAAAAACAGAAACTGCAGGAAAAACTCAGCAGGTCTGGAAGCATCTGTGGAGAGAAATCAAAAGTTAATGTTTTGTGTGTCCAGTTACTCTTCTTCAGTGACCCTTTCTTCCAGCAATTTCTGTTTCTGTTTCAACTTCCTGAAAACCTTTTCTATGTAAAGCGCCACAATGGTCACATGCATTCTTACTTACCCTCCTGATGTGATAAAACGTGGCCTCTGCAGCTCCACACTCTGTACCAGCAGGCGTGGCTCAAAGGTACGGATCTCCACATATCGTGGTAGCACTGCTATGATATAAGGCGACTGATGTTCTATTGGAAACAATCATATAAAATAATGCAGTTGCTTAGAAACAACAACTTTCTTTAAGCAGTTGTATTGGCTTTAGTAGAAAGTCTGTTTAGTGTTTTGTCTTTAAGGTTTCCACTAACAAGTACTTTTAACGCTCAGTGTGGCCGTTTGTTCAAAATCAGTTCCCTATGTTGATTTAACTAATCTCAGCTAAATCATTTGTGGGGCTACAAGTATTCTCAATGGCAATAGTATGGGGACTGATAATTCTTTTAATAATTCTGTGATTCTACAATTCAGCTCTTCTTGATATCATGTGGAATGAATCAAATAGGCTTAAGTGTGACATCTGTATGTTGGGGACCTCAGGAGGAAGCAGAGATGGATCTTTCAATTGGCATTTCTGGCTGAGGATGGTTGCAATTCAACCTTACCAGTTGCACTGATGTACTAAACACACCTATCATTGAAGATGGGGATTTTAGGGGGCACCTACCTCCATTAATTATTAAGTTTTAAAATTATTAAATTATCAGTTATTAATTTGTAACATAAATTTGGAATTAAGAATCTATTGATGACCATAAAATCATTGTTGATTATTGGAAAAACTCTGGTTTAATGTCCTTCAGGGAAGGAAATCTACCATCCTCACCTGGACTGGCCTACATGTGACTCTCAATTGCCCTCTGAAATGGCCTAGCAAGCCATTCAGTTATACCAATCGCTACCAAGTCTCAAAGAAATGAAACCGGACAACTCATCTGGCATCGACAACACCTTTCAAACCCAGAATCACTTTGGTATAGAAGGACAACGGCAGTAGATATATATGAATACCACCACCTTAAAGTTCGCCCCCCCAATGCACTCATCACCCTGGCTTGGAAATATATCACCATTCCTTCACAATCAATGGGTCAAAATCCTGGAATTCTCTCCCTAATGGCATTGTAGATCAACCCACAGCAGGTGAGCTGCAGCGGTTCAAGAAGGCAGCTCACTACCACTTTCTCAAGGGCAACTAGGGATGGGGAATAAATGCTGGCCAGCCAGTGACACCCACATCCCACGAATGAATGAATAAAAAAAAGTTGCCCAACACCATTCACAATCAAATGTGACAGGAATGGGGAATTTCGATCTAATCCACTGGTTGATGGATCACTTAACTCTGCCTATCACATGCAGCTACCACTATCTGACATTCAAGTAGGCTTGTATTATAGTTCCATTAGATTGATGATAATCATAGTTGGGGCATATGCAGTCTATGAGGCTACAGATTCTGGCTGAATACAATTTTGCTGCTGAAAATCGCCCTCGGTAATTCATGAATGTTCTGTTTTGAAATCTAGCCCATTCAGATTTTGTTGTGCCAGTGACACACAACACAATGGAGGATATCCTCATTTCCAGAAGGATCAGGGTGGTCACTTTCACCAATACGGTCACCGACTGATGCATCTGTAATAAGCAGATTGGGGAAAGCAACATCAAGTAGGCTTTGCCCTATTGTGGGTTCCCTCGTCACTACTGCAGACCCAGTCTAAACAACTTCTTCACTCTGTTAGCTTGGTTAGTAATGGTGCTGCCAAGCCAGTCTTGGTGACTGAGTAAATTCTGTGTCCTTACTATCATCAGTGCTTCTTCAATTTGGTATTCAACATAGACTAATACCTGCTTATCAGCTGTGGCTTGGTGTGGGTGGTTGCCTTACTCACGACCTGACATAATGAGATTTCATAGGGTCCAGAGTCAATGTTGAGAACTGGAAGGGTGACTCCCTCTTGGCTGCATACTACTGTGCTACCACCTCAGGTGGGTCTGGCCTGCAGATGGGACAGGTCATACTCAAGGATGGCAATGCTGTCTGGGTCATATTCACACTCACTAGGTTATACCTTTCAGACAAGGTCAGGCTGATGCTTAACTAGCCTGTGGGGGTGCTCTCCCAATTTCGGCACAAACCCCCTGATGTTTAGAAAAAGGATTGTGCAGGGTCAACTGTGCCGAGTTTGCCATTGCCATGTCTGACGCCTAGGTTAACGGTAGGTTTCATTCCTTTTCTACTTTGTAGTGGCTGGATACACTTGGATAGCTTGGCAGTCATTTTTAAGAGTCACATGGCTGTAGGTTTGGAGGTCAGGCTAGGTAAGGCAAACAGATTTCATCCCTCATTAGTGAGCCAGATGGATTTTTATGGCAAGTGAGAATAGTGTCATGATCACTATGACTGAAACTAGCTTATAACTTTAAATTTTAAAATTAAAATTAATTTCATCTACTGCCATGTCAAGATTTGAACCAATGTCCCCACAGTGCTAAACATGGAACTCTAGATTCCTAGTCCAATGATATTACCACTACACCACAGCCTACTCCAATTCCTTTTGACAAAATGGGCTTTCAGTATCTGTCTCGACAAATTTTCCCTCTCCCAACCAAAAGTAGGTGCAAAAAAGTAAAAGAATAAAAATGGAGGGGAAGCTAAATGGGAGTAGTGGAGATAGTATACATTAAATAGTCAATCATATGTCTAAAGGAGAGAACAGTTTATTAATAACATAAACACTCACATTCTCAAGGTATAAATCAATTGTTTTACAGTTTGCACTGTATTTTGTTCCAAAATTGGGAGAGCTCCCCAACAGATTAGTTAAGCATCAGCCTGACCTTGTCTGAAAGGCATTATCTAGTGAGTATGAATATGACGCAGACAACATTACCATCCTTGAGTACGTCCTGTTCCATCTGCCGGGCAGACCCACCAGAGGTGATAGCACAGGAGTATACAGTTTTCTCTACAAGAAGTGCATTATATTTAAAATTGCCGAGATGATGTAGGTTTTGAAGGATTGTGGAAAATGGATTTATTTCAAGTTTGACAGAAATAGCCAATTTGTTTTTTGTTTAGAAAGAGGTAACTATGGATATTGAAGCTTTTATTTAAATAAACTTAATCAAAAACAGAAGACTGATGATAATGGTTTTCTTTGCTGTAGACCCCTTCCAGGGTTGTCATTTGAACAGTGATTGGTTTGGATAGATTCTAGTTAGAGATGATTCAGGTGGAAGAAAGCTAATTAAAAACAAGCTGAGTTAGAGGAATCAAAACAAAGCGCTTCAGACGCTCAGCATGTCTGGCAGCATCTGGGGAAAGAGAAACAAAGTGAATGATTTGGATACAATGTTCCGAAGAATTATTGGACTCTAAATGCTCACACTATTTCTCTCTGCCAGACCTGCTGAGCTTCTCCAGCACTTTTACTTTTATTTTAGACTTCCAGACCTACGATATTTTCATAAAATCATAGAATCCCTACAGTGTGGAAACAAGCCCTTTGGCCCAACAAGTCCACACTGAACCTCAGAGCATCCCTCCCAGATTCATCCCCCTATAACCCACCTAATCTACATATCCCCATGGGCAAATTAGCATGGCCAATTCACCTAACCTGCACATCTTTGGACTGTGGAAGGAAACCGGAGCACTTGGAGGAAACCCATGCAGACATGGGGAGAATGTGCAAACTCCACACAGACAGTCGCCCAAGGCTGGAATTGAACCCGGGTCCCTGGCGCTGTGAGGCAGCAGTACGAACCACTGAGCCACCGTGCCGCCCCATTTTGCTTTTATTGAAGTTAGTCAAAAGCTTATGAAGCAAAGCTACCCAACTAATCTCCCCCACTTCAAAAAAGAAAACTCTATGTATTTTTTGAACGCGTGATTTATAGAACATCTAACACTGAATTTCCCAAGCAGTTGCATCTGCAAGACTTCACAGACAAATGTGATTTGTTGATGGGACCACACGTAAGGACTTTAAAGAACAATCCATTGTTCAAAGTGCTTTTTGTTCAAAAAAGCCAATCTCTCCAGAGAAAGTTCTGTTTTTTCCTCCCTTCCTAGAAAGGGTGCGTGCTTGCTCGTTTTTGGGATATTTAGAAGGATAAGAATGTATACATTCTATCTCTGCCTGTGAACATAATTCAACAAAGATGCAAACATTGGTTTATTATCAAAACAAAACTTAACCAATAATTGCGTTAACCTAGAAATGAATCTGATAGATCTTGTTTAAAACAAGGTATTTAGTATTTAATTGATCTTCTTGGTAACTTAACTTTGAAACTAAATTATTTTTATTTCACTACCTGTGGAGCACTAACTGTACACTACCATTAGTTACTGTGGCTGGTTTGCTCGCTGAGCCAGTTTGTTAATTTGCAGACATTTCATTACCCTGCTGGATAACATCATCAGTGCAGCCTCCGATGAAGCTTCTTATTAAACTCCAAAGAAAACCATCAGTAAACACGTGGAATTAGACCCTTGATACTCACCACTGCAAAGAAAAACTGGAAATGAGGTAATCAAACTAACGAATTGGCTCAGCGAGCGAACCAACCACAGCTACAAATCTACTCAAGAACCTTAGCTACCATTAGTTAGCATCTGTTGAACATCCTTTAGAGTACAAGGTAATAACATACAAATACCCTGTAGGAATCCTACAAAACAAAAATCTCTTGAACAGTGGCAAGATATTTGAACAATCGACAAAGTTTCCATACCCATGGCAAGAGGAATATCTGTCCAGTTCAGGGCACATTTCTGAGTGCAGACTCCATCCTTATTCAGCACCACCGTTAAATCATCTTGCCCAACTGCGACCTTTTGGTCATCCAAGGGAGTCACAAGAGGCTCTAGTTGCTTCCCAGTTGGGAAAAGCTCCTTTATTGAGCCTTTTCCATCCAACTGTTTAGAAGGGAGGAAAGGTTAATTGATTTAAAATAATTTAATCTAACTTTAAACAAGTAGCTCTTACACATAACTAACAACTAAACTAGATTTATTTAATACATTTCTAATCCATAGTAAATGCACTGCAAAGACGAGAAAATTATGTTAAATAATCACAATCCTCTATATGCCATGTTCAAATCCTGCCAGTGATCAGAAAAACATTTTCTCTGAAGAAAGGTCCAGACCCGAAACGTCGGCTTTCCTGCTCCTCTGATGCTGCCTGGCCTGTTGTGTTCGCCCAGCTCCACACCTTGTTATCTCAGACTCCAGCATTGTCAGTTCCTACTATCTCTGAATGAGATGGCACTGATTTCAGGAAATAACTAACTGCATTCAAGCAATTTCTAACAAGGCAGCAAGGCGATCACTTTTTGACTAGAATAACCAAATATCCAAGATAAAGATGGAAATTCTCAGCAGTCTATCAGATAACAAATCATACAAGTTCTTGTCTCCCGCTAACACTCAGTCAGCAAGTTTGAAAATTTGATCAGGAACTCTATTGAACATCAGCTGTTCTATGCTCAAGTAGCAGGAGACATTTTTGTGTGTGGCCAAATTAGCCAGCTACCCTATTTCTCCACTTTGGGGGAGGCACTCCAACTTCATCATTCCTAAATTTACAGAAATCTAAGTACCTTCTGGTGGCAATACTTCTGGGAATGTCTTTTTTGGGTTGATAACCCAGTAAGATGCTTGGAGAATTATTGCCCCAATCCAAGTGTACATGCTACATTCAAGTCGTTGTACCTACATTTAATCAAATGTGACTATTCATCCTTATCACCCCTCCAGGAATCTGTAGCCTTATGTTTCGAAGGCTATGTTATGTTGAACATTTTAATCTGTAGTGAGCTGGTGTATCCAGCCACAACAATATGGTAAATGAAATACCACAATGGACCACTCTTGTGCTGAAAGAACTAGCAAAGAATATTCATCCTGAAGTAGTATAATTTTAAGATATTAGCATGATTGAAATAATCATTCCAATGCGGTACTTCTGCTCAGATGAATTAAATAAACTTAAAATAATCTACATTTATATCAGCTCCAAGCAAGGCGTTAAGAACTGTCATAGCCAAACCTGTCCATAGTAAAACACCTCTCCAGGAACCATGACAGATGTTTTCAGTGCTGAGACTCAGCGTTCTGAATGGCTGCAGAACTATCACCATTTTAGACTAATTTAAAAATGGAGATCAACAATTATGATGTGGTGTTGGTGCTTTTTGCAAATTGTTGCAACATATTATAGGTATTAATACAACTATGGGATGGGGAAGGAATACAGAAAATAGCAGCAGGAGAAGACCATATAACATGATCATGGCTGATCATCCAGCAGTACCCTGTTTCTGCTTTCTCCCCTTATGTTTTGATCTCTTTAGCGCCAAGAACTATATATAACTCCTTCTTGAAAACATCCAATGTTTGGCCTCAACCACTTTTTATGACAGATAATTTCAAAGGCTCACCACTCTGCGTGAAGAAGTTTCTCCTCATCTCAGTACCAAATGGCCTACACTGAGAGAACACGTGACATGTGCTCCATTCTACTTCACAGCAATGCTTTTGCATTTATTACTGTTGGTTGCATGTATATACACAGTTTTGTCCATCAGGTGGACAAGTACAAACTTTGCTGAGTCTATGTTTTTAACTCATGCTTTGTACTCAGCCAAGCCTTGTCAACAAACACGGCAAAATGATTTCCGAGTGGAGAATATCTTGGCACACAATCTATTAGCTATACTTATAGCTAGATTTTTTTTAATTAACCTGTTCAGAGATGTTCTTACACACCTCCAGAAGAGGTGGGATTTGAACCCAGCCCTTCTGGCCCAGAGGTAGAAGCACTGCCACTGTGCTACAAGAATCCTGAAGCTACACTTGTATAGTAACCAGAAACAACAGATTGGTCAACAATCTAGTGAACCAGATAACTTTACTGAATTGGAGATGATTGAAGAATACCAGAAATTTTTAGGAAAAACAATGCAAGGAAGGCAGGACTATACTACAGTTATTCCGAGTCTCAATCACATTTTGTTTCACAGCTGTAATAATCCTTCACCTTCAAGCTGAACCTCACGTGTTTGTAATGTTTGAAATTGATGAAGATTAGTAGGACTTGGATAAATAGTAGGGAGTTTTCCATTTTGCTAATATGTTATACTACTTTTGATTAGTAATTCCATTGAATTAGTGCCTTTACATTTGACCATCAGAGAATGATGAAAGAGAAAGACAAATCAGTAGAACTTATTTAAAAACCTTGTACCTAAATGCATGAATTAATTATTTGAATTAAGTTGATGAACTGATAGCACAAATAGAGACGAATGGGTACAATCTGGTGGGAGTTACTGAAACATGGATACAAGAAGATCAGGACTGGGAGTTGAATGTCCAAGGGTACTCATTATTCCAAAAGGAGAGTCAAGAAGGAGCTGGAGGTGAAGTTGCTTTATTAGCTAAAGATTACATCAAGGTTGTATTAAGCAATGATATTGGTACTAAGGACTAAAATGCTGAATCCATCTGGGTGGAAATAAAAAGCAAAGGAAGAAGCCCCTTGGTAGGAATAATTTACAGGCCCCCCCATATACTACTTCCGAAGTAGGGCACAGCATGAACAAAGAAATAATTAGGGGTTGAGAGGGCACAATGGCAATTATGGGTGATTTGAATATGCACATTGATTGGATTAATCAACGTGGCAAGGGCAGCCTCAAACACAGGTTCACAGAGTGTACAAGGCACTGTTTCTTAGAGCAATATGTCATGGAGCCAACCAGAGAACTGGCTACTTTAGATCTTGTATTGTGTAACAAGGAAGGATTGATAAATGGTCTTGTAGTTCAGGATCCTCTTGGAAGGAGTGACAACAACATGCCAGAGTTTCAAATTCAGATTAAAAGGGTGGAGACAGAATTGCATATGAGAATTTTAGCACTGGGCAAAGGTAATACAGGCCTAAGGAAGGAGTTGTTCCAAGCGGACAGAGCAAAAGTATTAAAGGGCAGGATACTGGAACAGTGGCAAATGCTTCGGGAGATCTCTCAATTAAATGGTATTCTTTCTCAAAAACTACAGTTACAACAGAGGAACTTGGTGAAATTACTGCAACTGGGGAGAAGGCATGAAGTAAACTGATGGGATTGACAGCAGATAAGTCCCTGGAGCCTGATGGCTTGCACCTTAGGATATTAAGGGAGGTGACAGCAGAGATAGTAGATGATTAGTTATGATTTTCCAAAATTCCCTGGATTCTGGAAAGATACCAGTGGATAGGAAACATGTTAAAGAGATACCCTTATTCGAAAAAGGAAATAGGCAATAAGGAAGTTTGACCTGTGTAGTGGGGGAGTTGCTGGAGTCAAATGTAAAGAAGGAGATAACTGAACACTTGGAAAATCAAAGCTCAATTCACCAGTGTCAGCAAGGTTTCAAGAAGGGCGGGTTGTGCGTGACAAACTTGCTGGAGTTCTTTGAGGATGTAACCAGCAAGGTAGATAATGGGGATCCAGTAGATGCGGGATAGCATCTGATAAGATGCTGCATAAAAGACTGATACAAAACGTTAGTTCCTGGGAGGATAAAGGTAGAGTACTGGCTTGGATACAGGATTGGCTGGCTGCCAGAAAGCGGAGGGTTGGGATAAATGGGTCCTTCTCTGGATGGTGAACTGTAACTACTGAGGTGCCACAGGATTTTTGGATCTCAATATATACAATCTATACAAATGTTCTGTAAGCAAAGACATAGCAAAGTTCACAGATGATACTAAAGATGTAGGAAAGTAGGTAGTGATGAGGAGATAAAGCGTTTAAAGATGGATATTGAGAGGCGAGGAGAATGGGCCAGAATCTGACAGATGGAGTTCAATGTGGATAAGTGCAAGGTTGTGCATTTTGCCCAGAGAAATAAAAGGGCAAATTATTATTTAAAGGGGAAGCAGATTCAAAGTGCATGAGTGCAGAGGGATCTGGATGTCTTTGTGCATGAACCACAGAAAATGGGTACGCAGCTACAGCATTTAATAAGAAAGGCAAATAGAATCCTGGCATTTATTGCAAAAGGATTATAAAAGTAAACAAGGGTTGTTACAATTATATAATGCGTTGGTGAGCCCACACCTGGAATTTTATGTTCAGTTTTGATTTCCTAACTTAAAAGAATACTGTGTTGGCACTGCAGGCAGTTCAGAAGAGGTTCACCAGGTTGATTCAAGAGATGAAAGGGCTGTTTTACAAGGAACGATTGGAATAGCTTGGACTTGTACTCGGTGGAGTTCAGACAAATGACTGATTGAAGTATATAAAATGATAAAGGGAATTGATAAGGTGGACACTGAACAGATGTTCCCCCTTGTGGGACAGTCTTGAAAAAGAAGTCATAAATAAAGAGTGAGAGGAGGCAGGTTCAAAACTGAGATGAGGAGAAACTATTTTTCTCAGAAGGTTGTGAATCTGCGGAACTCACTGCACCAAAGTGCAGTGGAGGCAGAATCAATCAAAAGATTCAAGAAAGAAATAGATAAGTTTCTGTTGAAAGATGGGATAAATGGCTATGGGGAACAGGCTGGAAATGGAGTTGAGACCAGGATAAGATCAGCCATGATCATATTAAATTGTGGAGCAGACTCCAAGGGCTGAATTGCCTACTCCTCCTCGTAATTGCTATGTTCCTACATTTCCAACATGCTAAATTTGTTAGGTTACAAATACAGAAAATATAGCGGAATGAACAGAGTCCCCTCTCGGCCCATTCTCCGTCATATGTTTCTGCAGTTCCACTAGGCTATATATTGCATACCTGACACATTGCTTGAAGGCAAGATTAACTTTTTTATAAAGTGCCGTGCTGGAAAACTTCAATCTACATACCCGGATTAGATAATAATCCCTTTTAAAGCCCACACAGATGGAATTCTCACACCAAGCCATGGACTTAGGAACATCAGGAACGCTGAAATCTGCCTGTAACAAAGACAGATGATAATTGGTTTAGGTTATTCCTCATTCTTTGAATGCACTTGATTAAATACTGTAATATATAGGATGAGCTATTATTTGCAGTTCAGCAGGCTGGTCTGAAATTTAACATAATATTACAACCATACACTGTCTCTCTTACACATTTCAGTCATTTCTTTGTCAAAAAAGCTATCAAATTTGTCTGTACTCTGCTTTTGCTACCTTACCGGACAGTTTGGCTCACGCACCTAGGCAAACAGTATGTACAAGAAAACAGGCCATCATATAAACAATATAAACAACACTACCACATTTAAGATCAAACTTCACTCTATTTAGGAAGCATATTAGATATATAATGGCTGGATTTAATTCAGCCCATCATGTTGGGAACTATGATGGCTGGAGTCAGTGAGAGGGTAGAGGGGGTTGTTGTTTAAATATTTGATCACAGATGTGGACACTGCCTCATGGGCAAGCATTTATTTCTCATCATTAAATGTCCTTGATGATGTAGTTGGGAGGTGCCTTCTTCAAACACTTCAGTCCACATGAGTTAGGCACATCCACAGTGCTTTTAGGAAGGGCTGATGCATGATGCCAATGAGGACTGTCAGTTTATTTTATCAATGAGGCAATCCCGTCCCACCAGACCCCGCAGGTTAGCATCACAGTGCATCACAACCAGTTGTCCATAGTGGTAAGGACCGTTGCTCACTCTAAAATGCATGGCTGTACACCTTCTCTGATGTTCTGCATACACTGATCTCAACATTCACTTTCAGTTCAGGATGTTGCTGCCATGCACAGGCCGCAGAGGCCAGGGCAATTGTTTAAAAAAAAAAAAGAGGCATCACTAATGATTGCCATTTTTTTAATGAGTAAGTTTTGTTTATGATAAATCATTGAATCAAAGGATCCCTAAAGTGTGGAAGCAGGCCATTCAGTCCATCAAGTCCACACTGACCCTCCGAAGAGAATCTCACCCAAACCTACACCCTAACCTGTAACCCTGCATTTCCCACGGCTAACCCACCTAGCCTGCAAACCACTGGACACCACAGAACAATTTAGCATAGCCAATCCACCTAACCTGCACATCTTTGGACTGTGGGAGGAAGCTGGAGCATCCAAAGGAAACCCACACAGACATGGGGAGAACATGCAAACTCCACATAGATAGTTATCGAGGGTGGAATCATTCCAATGTCTCTGACACTGTGAGGCAGCAGTACTAACCATTCAGCCACCACGCCGCCCACAATGGATTATTTTAAGTCTATTAAAGGTGGTTGGTGGAAGTCTCTGTTATTGTAAACAGCAGTACAAGAAAGAAGCAACTGGCCATTTTGGCAATGGAGTCAACACACTTACAGTAATGGTGCAATCAGTGGAGTAGTGACACTTGATATTAGCACTTTCCTCCAATCTAGAACAAGGGGCCGCTGTTTAAAAATAAAGCGCTACCCATTTAAGACAGAGATAAGGAGAAATCTTCTCACTGAGGGTCATGAGTCTTCAGAACGCTCTACCACAAAAGATGGGTGAATATTTTTAAAGTAGAGGCAAATAAATTCTTGAGAAGGAAGGGGGTAGGCAGGATGTATTCACATCAGTCATGCCATTATTGAATGGTGAAGCAGACTAAAGTGTCACCTACTCCTTCTACTAATCATACCGCCATTTGTTTGTACTGCACTATCATCCTTCTAACCAGGTGTTAAACAGAGGCACAATCTGCCTGATGGATTGAAAAGGTCCATGGCAATGGTGTGAAGAAGAGCAGGGTACCTGGCCCTGGTCATCTTGATAATATCTCTTCCACATTCTTCACCACAAAAACAAATTATCTGGTCAATGATAGCTGCATTGACCCATCTGATTCAATTCAACTTGAATGACATCAGAAAATTCTCAAAGACTGGTCACTTCACAGAAGAGTTTGAAGATGGAGCAAGATACTAATTCTGTACTTTAAAGAGTACTGCATTTCCATTTAACCTTCACGAGATCATGGATTCCAGATACGGGCTCTTTGTTTTATACTATTTTCCTGGAGATTTCTTGAATCGAGAATGACTCACCTGCGTTTCATGAAACTCTCGGTCCCGCCAGTAGTAGAGCTGAAGTTTCTTCTTCACAGCTACACACATATTCAGAATCAGCTCATCACTGTCAGATCGCTAAAAATACAGAGTACATATGAACAATTGATTCAAAAAAACCCAGTCAGTCCAATTTCCTTGGGTGAAAATATCTGATGATATATAATTTGCACATTTGCTAATATGTAATATAAATACCTTGGTGTACAAATCAACACAAATCCAGGAATTACAAATCCTGTTCATAAGCTGACTTTGGTTGGTTTTGAATTTATAACAATTTTACCTTTCATTATTCTACAAGTGACTGCATAATGATCACTGCAACTAGATCTTCCTCACCTACAATCAGGAGACTGAAAATACATTTTCAAATCCAAAGATCAAACTTTCACTCAGGGTTCTTCCAATGGTTATTAAGACAATCAGCCAGAAGCCAAGTTTGCATTAGGATTTTTGGAGGAGAAAATGGGCGATAACTCCTACGTTGATATGCACGTGTGTAAATTTATTCGCGTATTTGCTAAGTAAATTTTAATGACAAGACGAAAATTCTGTTCTGAATATTTTCAGTTGTGAAGTCCCATATCAGCACTGAGAAGTGCAGGAGAATGTGTCAGGAACAGCTCAAGTGCAATTAGGAATGAATAACAAACACTAATTTTGCCAAAAATGTTCATATCCAATCAAAAAAATTTAAAAAAAAACTAGAAATTTGCCTGTCAGCTTTTTAGATAAAAGACGTAGCTCTTGGCTTTTAAAACGTTATCAGGCTAAAAGATGAATGAAAAATGTTATGAAAGTAAAAGCAGCAGTACAGCTTACTGGGTTCCCTATAAACCAGCTTTGCATCCATCTCAACACTGACAGCAATTTATTTTTTTATTGTCGGGAGAACAAAGCATAAATATCCAGGGAACACAAAAAGACACAGAACTAAAACAAAAATAGGAGGGATTGCATGGAAGAAATGTAAATTTAAAGGATTTATTGAGGCAAGGAATGTTCGATGCCCAGGATACAAATACATTTCAAAGTATATAGGCCTTTCCTTCAATTTTTAAAATGTAAGTTAGTTTATACTGGTTATATTAGGTTATTCCCAAATACCAGAGTACATGGTAAAATTAGTTGTTCACATCCATGCATAAAATTATACTTTGCATCTACATTTCCGATTACAATAGCAAATAAAAACACTGCCTAGTGTAGCAAGCATGCAGCCGTGCCAACCTGACAGTTTCAGGTTTGATTTGTCATCTCACCAAGAACTTCCCTCAGCTGGCAGCAATAGTCCCTTGTGTACTGGATTTTAAAAAGGAATGGAAATGTATCCAGAAAAGTATCCATTTGCTGGCAAATGCATGTATGTGGACAGCATCTGGTACAGGCAGCATCAGAGGAGCAAGAAAATTGACATTTCGGGTAGGGACCCTTCTTCAGAAATGGGGGAGGGGGAAGGGAGTTCTGAAATAAATAGAGAGGAGGGGCGGGGCTGCGGAAGGTAGGTGGAATGGTGATAGGTGCCAAATTGGGATGGCCTGAATGTAGATTGGAGTCCATTGGAGATGATTTGGTTTCGTAGGCAGGTATGAGAAAGGCAATGTGGCTGTAGTACCTGGTTTGCTTTGAGCAGTTTCAGGGCTGAAGAGATTACCAGAGGATTGTAGTGGGAGAGAGATCCACTGAGGTCTTTCCGGAGGGAGGAGGATAACTGTTCAAGGTGGGCATCCCTAGAAGAGGCTTCGCAGTGGGGTTATAACTCACTCAGAAATAGTAAGAACTACCGATTATGGAGTCAGAGATAACACAGTGCGGAGCTGGAGGAGCACAGCAGGCCAGGCAGCATCAGAGGAGCAGGAAAGTTGACGTTTCGGGTCGGGACCCTTCTTCAGAAATGGGGGAGGGCTCTGATGCTGCCTGGCCTGCTGTGCTTCTCCAGCTCCACACTGTGTTATCTTTGATTCCAGCATCAGCAATTCTTACTATCTCTGAGCATTTGGCACAATTACTTTATTTTACTGTATTTCCCAAACTCCAGAGTCACTGTCTAGACTCACATATAGAGCACTTGCCAATGCTACTAGAAGGTTGCCTGTATTGTGCAAGTGCAGCTCATCAACAAGCTACAGCTTCAGAATAAGAATGTGTTTCATTTTTCCAAAAGCGATGTTGTGGTGGTGGTAGAATTTCTCTATTTTCTAAAGAAAAAAAGCCTGTGCAACTGCTTATGAGAGTAAAAGAAACAGCAATACCAACAGTGAAACACCATTTTTATTTTCTTACATTCTCTCTTTAGATTATTGGTGAAGCCCAACAGAAAAGACACAAATTATGGTGGCAGCATCACTAGCATTCAATTTTTATTTTCAGTTTGGGAGATATCCAATACTCCTGCAAAGCAGAAGTAGAACTGCTATTTTGCACATCTTGCCTCTTACCTTTAAATCACACGAAAACAGACTGGCACTTTTGGCCTTGGTAACCATAGTAATTTGTTGGAATGTGAGTAAGTCATGAACATAAATATTATTTTCTATAAGAGAGAAAGAAAATATTTGAACTTAATTAAAGAAAACACTTTTCTATAGACATACTAGTGTTCTAACCTGCTGCCTGTAGTGTGTAGGAAAACTGCACTTAAATCGGTATGTTAATCTTGCACGATGGTCTCTTAACTACTTTAATTGATTCTGATGCTCAAGATACCTCTCTCCAGTTTGGAATGTCAAAAACGTGTTACTACACAAACATATGAATTAGGAACAGAAGTAGGCCATTCAGCCCTGAAACTGCTTTGCAATAAAATCATGGCTGGTATGTTTGTGTCTAGAATTCCACATACACATCTAATCTCGATAACCTTTGATTTCCTTATCTAACAGGACACTGCCTTAAAAATATTTAATAACCCTATATTCATCGCTTTCTGAGGTGGAGAGTTCCAAAGTCATACAACTCTTCGATAAAAAGTCTCTCTTCATCATGCTCTCCTAAAAGGATGACCTCTAATTCTTAAGCAGTGCCACCTTGTACTGGTCTCAACCACAATTAATGTACTGGATATATCCCATTGTTTAAAATAGAAAAACATGACAAAACTTCATTACATCAGCAAAATACTACAGGATTATTAAATGCACACAAGTGTATATACATCATCGAATCACCTTCTAAACTCAGTCATTCCCAGAACAAAATTCCTCACCATCCATCTCCAGGAAATTAAGTAAAACTATATCTCGATTTATCCAGACTTTACTTCCTAATTTATCTTCCCTTGAACCTTCATGTAGTCTTCCAGTACAACTGACTTTGCCCCTTTATACTGGCTTCTTAATTCCAAGATTTTGTACAACGTCTCACTTCATTTAATCTGTAAGATAATGTAATGGCGTCCCACAGTAATCAAACTGAATTCCATAGTAAGTAAAATACAGTATGCACAACCTATGAAATATTAATTTGCAACAAGTCAGAACAGTTAATTCACGAAACGTTCAATAGAACAAAACCACATGCGTGATTCAAGACAGCTATTTATTAGCATATACACATAAACTACATTAAAGACTGTTTTAAAACACATCTATAAAACTACTCTCATCCTGGATTTTATAGAGGATAATGGGAGAATCTACTCGTCATAATGGGTGCTAAATTATTGTCTTAAAATCAGTAATGGAACACTTCCACTGAGTCACAGCACAGTACAATTTCATTGTTGAGAAGGGTACATTTCCGGTCATCAAATCTACATTAATCACAATGAGGACAGTTTATAGCAATTCGTCAAACCATTGTCACATGATCATAGGAAGGGAGTGTAAACTAAATCATGCATTTTTCATATAAGCCCAATTTCCAGTTTGAACTAGTTTGAATGGCAATTGGAATGCAACAATTAACTTTACCTACCCTACACAGTAAAAAATAAATAAAATAAATAAATAGATCCTATTCTTGATCGCAATCTAATAACCTTGGCTGATGGTGTGCATACGTAGCCATTTGGCGAGGAATGAATGGAGGTCAGAGGTTATCCACAATGATCCTCATTTGTCATAAAGCTTGCCAATGCATACAGTCTTTTATTCTGGCTAATGCTTATGGAAGTCTACATGATCCCATAAGGAGTCAATATTTCCAGGAAGGAGTAAAAACTAAAACCTGTAAAATTCAAGACTCTCTCTATCACTGTCCTGAGATTGTTATTTTCAAGAACTTTTGAGGTTAAGAATTTAATGGTTTCGAATGCATCATGGGGGGAGGGGATGCCATTTAGCACCTACCAATCATGCCAGAGGTTAACTGGGGTTGATTCCAAATACTAAAAAGATGCAAGTCAAAAAGGTGGATGTAACAGGACTTTTTAGTTTTGAAAGCAAACCTAATGGAGGATCTTATGTAAGTATGAACAATGCTTAACACATTGAAGATAGCATGTCCACACTGTGACAGACAAACCATTCAGTCCAACCAATCACTACTGCTGTTTACACTATCCATGAGTAAATACCCCTACTCATATTTGCCCACTCTAATCTCATACCTTTCTTCTACCCATTTCCTACAATGCTCTTTCCAATCTTAAATGTTGTTGGAATTTCTACCTCAACCACAAATCCCGAGTGTGAATCCCACAGCATACGGCACTGAAATGGGGGCTCTTCTGGTGCAATGGGTACTGTCCTTAGCTTTCAGACAGGAGTCCTGGGTTCAAATCCCACCTGCACCAGAGTTGTGCCATTACATCTCCAAATAGCTTGATTAAAAAAAAATTAACGATACTGTGTGGAGGTTTCTGTCTAAAGCAGCTGATATGTTTAACTTCTACTGGGGACAACCTGCTTCTATCTACCTGACTCAATCCTTTCCTAAGTTTGAAACATGTCTTTCACATAAACCAAGAACATTACTGTCACAGCTCTGTCATCACAATTTCTTACTTAGGCCAAAGGGCAGGCTAACACTGCAACATATGCCAACAAGTGGCTAATCTAGAATACTCGATCTGTTTTAAGAAACAGCTAAATGTACTGGAGAAAAGGAAGTTCAGCATTCTGTAAAAATCCAAATAGATCATTTGATTTGGTTATAAGTGATGGCGTTTCACTTCATTATATGTTATAGAGCTTAAATTCATTCACTGTAGTGAACTAAACTGGTGAACTTGGTATATACATGAAAAAGTAATTAAAATATGCAAATCTAAGTCAAAATGTTGGATTACTGATTTTGATACTAATTACTGTGACTGGGATATATAGCAACCTCTGTTTACCTCTTTTAATGTATTCCTAATCTAACAAAAACAGAAATTACTGGAGGAACTCATCAGTTCTGACGAAAGGTCACTGGACGTGAAACATTGATTCTGTTTCTCTCCACAGATGTTGCCAGACCTCGCTAAGTGTCTCCAGAAATTTCTGCTTTGTTTCAGATTTCCAACATTCACAGTTCTTGGGCTTGTTTATTCCTAAATTAACTTGCTAATGAAAGTATGCTAAACAAAAATCACTTTCCTAGAAGAAAAGATACAATAAGGGTGGATCATGTTCCAGGCATGTTATTTTTACAATAAAAACCTACCAGCAGCATCGATCCAACTGGTCCAAAAATCCTCTGACTAATTAACCCTAATTTACTAATTCTTAAGTTAGTAAAGAACTCTTAAAACTTACTAACTCATACTAGTTACATCTTACTTATTGTTACCTCACCCTCCTTTATTTATTCCCTGTCCTGATCCTGCTGCTTGCTATCTCTTCTAATTACAACTTTCTTTTCCAGCACCATCCCAAACATTTACTGGAACAAGGCCCAGAAGAGGGGTGATGAGAGGAGCTGCAAGTGGGAGGAAAGACCTAAAGGTGTAGAGGTGTGTGTGTGCGCGCGCGTGTGTGCGCGTGGTCGTGTAAGTATGGCATGCTTCTTATGGAGCCTTCTTGCAGCTTTCCGACGTGGAGCATGATACACTAAAACAATCATGACCTGAGTTGAACAGAAGTAAATGAGTTATTTAAAATCTTTAAAATTCCCCCGCTATTCCTTTCCATGTAACTTTAGTTCTTTAAAAAAATATTCATTACAGCCTACTTTTTCCCTCAGGCTTTTGATCAAATCAATTTCTCCTAAATATGGTATGGGCCATGCTTTATTTTGCAATGCAACTGCGAAGCACATTGAAAGCATTTTATTACATTAAAAGGCACTATAAATAAATTGTTTTTGAAATACAAATCACTTATTGCATCTGTTTCCAAGGCCAAAATGCAACCGTTAATTTTGTAAGCAAACGCCTCTGCAGTTTGCTAAGCAAAACTATATATTATTCCAGAATGCACAACACAAAATAGCCTTTCATACTAAAAATATACACATATATAAAGCTAGCTACTCAAATAAATGCACAAGTTTTAATCTTTCTAGTTACTGCTGTTCAGTTTGTAATGAACGTGAAGTTTATTGCATAAGTTTCACTCTCTCTGCTAGATTTCTGTTACAAATACATTCTCAGGTAGCACCAATTGTTCCTATAAGCAGTCTGAATGGAACACTTTTATTGTGGTTTCAGACTGTCCTTTATCTCTGAAGGTAGATCAAACTTAGATAGGGTGAGATAATTTAAAACTGTTTTATTCCACAGTAAACTTAATATACAGAATCTTAATTATAATAGAACACCTTACCATGTCATTTTGATTGACTTAAACCTAAAGTCTCTGAACTTTACTTCAAATTTTTTTCTGTTTTTCATCTCAGTGTAAGCCATCAGAGCTTCTCCCTTAGACTTCTCTTGTTGCAGGCCTGTTTCCAAGTTTTGGCTGTCACATTTTCTAACTCTTACCCACCAACAGAAGTGAAGTACGAACTGGGGAGGGCAATCTTTGAGAGTTGGGGAGTGGCAAGAGAGAAATAGAACCTTATTCTGAAGCAAATTTAACTATGATTTTTTTGTGGCTCATTGTTCCTTGCCACCTGACATTTTCAAACGAACCATTAAAGGACAACACTGCAAATTTTCTTTAAAAACAAAGAATGCATTGAGAAAATCGTCATGCCAAAATAATGACTAAACATCATGGAAAACCTGATTAAATCTATCAATTATACAACGGACTTGTGTACAAGGTGCTGTTTTACTCTAGAAAACCAGTTGACAAAGCAATCAATTGGAGTTCATCTTTACAAGTTTTTGCATCTTTTTTCAAGATTGCACATTACAGCCCTGCATCTCCAAACCCAACAACCACAGTTCTAGATTGTTTTTATAGGACCTCAAGTGACTTCCAAGTTAATGTCCACTACCTGCATAACAATTAAATACAAGCTCTATATCTTAACAGCAACTATCGTCTTAATTTTTAAGCACTATAATCAATTTGCAATACAAATAAGCTACATTTTCTACAATTACTGCACTGGTGTAGAAAAATAATTCCTGTGTTCATACAGGCTAAACATTAACAATTCACTTTAACTTACCCAGGAGAGAGATCAGTATTTTAAATTGGGATACAACATATAACTGGAAGAGAAAAAGATCAAAATGTGACATTTCAGGATGGAACAATATAACTAAATTACAGATCAGTCATGCTATATCACAGGACTCAGCTCTTACATTTAGCTTTCTAAATTAATTAAAACTTCTATTGAAAAAGGAGACATGTACATTGTAGCATGTAAAAAAGTATGCAATTGATAAAATTGCCTAAGCAATTGACAGAAAGAACTCGTATACAATATACTAATTCAGTGAATAGACAATGTAAATCTAAACTGTTTGTAAATTAAGGAGGAATTCTCCCAATTGCAAGCCCTTTATAAAGATATCAAAAGAAGAACTGGATGTGCAGACAGGTTAAGTATCAGGATAGCTAATGCAACAATGTCTTCCATACAATGGGACAGGGAAATAAATTGAGTGTGTTATTATGTTATTAATAAGATCGTTAACCTTGCTATTGTTGTGACTCAACTGGGAAGTGAGCACGAATAACTGATCCCCACTGTTCCACAAGTTGTCACAAACATGTAAACACCCAACTAAACAACCAATTTGTCCAAGTGACTGCTATTCTGGACAAAATCAACAAACTCCAGATTTTCTCATTAAAAGAAATTAACTATTTATTGTAACACACGACTTAAACAAATGGCAGAGAAAAGAATACAAATCTACAATTGTGCAACTCAAACTATACCCCTTAAAACCGCAAATAGACACACACACTCAACTGAGAAAGACAAAAAACAGATGGTTAGGCACAAATATTAAGGGTGGAAAACTGAAGATGGAAAACAAAATTCTGAAGATCAAAAGTTCATATCTAAAAGGGAATTGTGTCTCTCAGTTTCTCTCTATTTTAGCTGTGCTGACTATAGAGGGCAGGTTGTTCTTCAATTCGACTGTGATATGTTGGATCCAGGTATGAGTCTCTTGATTGCTGTCATTTTGTTCAGACCTAAAGGAGGAAGTGGGAGGGGTGGTGGTGAGACAGAGCGAGTGAAAGAGAGAACGAAGGAGAAAGGAGAGAGAGAGAGACAGAAAGAGAAAAAAAGAAAGAAAAAGAGAAAGAGAAAGAGAGAAAGAGAGAGCGAAAGAGAGAGAGAGAGAGAAAGGAAGGAAGAGCGAGAGACAGCGAGCGAGATTTCAGAGAAAGAGTTTTCTATTTCCCTGCTCTGCAGGTCTTTTGCAGAACTATAAGCGCAGGGCAGCAACAAACTGCAGAACAACCAATGGGAAGGCTATTGTCAGTCAATTTTTCATTAACTGAAAAACTCCTGGTACTACTGACTTAATAATAATCTCACTGCTCCAAAAACAACATTGTCTTGCACAGCTAAAAGCGCCCACCAGATTTTTCCAAGCCGCAAAACTCTCCTGGCATTACTTCAGCTATGTAGCAGTCCAACTTCCATTCTAGTTTATAGTCCAAAATGTAAAAATGTGGTCAGTTATGCTGTTACAGTGGCAGTGAATGAAGCCAACAATTCTTTCAAGACAGAAACAATGGCATGACTGTAAGGGTGACCCCAAAAAGTTCAATCCTTCAAATATTCTAACTGAAGAATCTCTAATCTTTATAAGCACAATAAAACATTTGGAATTGAGGTGCAACCCAAGATCTACCCCAAAGAAAATACTGAAGTTTTATTTTTAGTGTTATATAAATCCGAAACCAAGTGTATAAAAATTATTTATCCTTTACTCATCAAGTTTCAGTGTGCCAATACCTTGAAATCTGGGTTGTAGTCTGAGACAGCTCCTCATATACAGTCCATGAAATGACTGTAAGGTGGGTGAGATATTTGCACTTGATTATCTACATTTTAGTATCTCCGAGGTATACGGAGTAAAAGCAAGCTTCCACTTGAAAAGCGCAGGATGATAAAAGAGGGTAGCTTTCTGTTTATGAGTCCCCACAAATTACTGGCCCTTGATCTGACTGTAAGCTCAATATCATTTTGCTTCATAACTATCTCCATGCCAACGCCACTGCTCATGTGTGGATCAATATCTGGTGAAATTTGGTAGTCAACCAACATCTACTTTAAAGAATGTTCAGTTTTATCTCACATTGAATCACATCTAATTTCTGAAATCGCTGTTAAATTTGTGCGCTCATTTCCTTAGGTGTGCACTGAAATTTTCTGGGTGGAACCATTTTTCTTTATCCTTGTGTTTTTTTCCCTAATATAATCTCTAGACCCAGAAGTGATGGGGTGTTTTTTCATATAAATTAGGAGGACCACAGACTTAGTTTCAATTTAAAAAGTATTCACAGCACTAATCTGAAGTGCCAGGTCTGTGTTCTTTCCTGTTTATAGTTCAGCTCAGTGTGGACATCATGTCTGTAAGGAATCTGAAGCTGAGCAACAATGCATTGTGCAACACCTCAATGCACACTTCATTCCTTGATTCAAGAAAAGTGACAATTTCAGGCATCAGATTTAGAATATTTGTAGGATCTTGCCTCAACTTAAACACCGCACATCAGAATGGAGGATTAGTTCATAGTAGCCAGGATTGAGTTCATTGAGTAAGGATTTAAACACGTAGGACTGAATGACTGTAGCTTAAATCAAGTTTACAATCTTAACTTTCATTTATGAACTTTTCTCATGCACTTTACTTGCTGTTGCTTGCTGGTGGCTTATATGTGGTAATTGACAAAAGAGGAGAAATCAGCATTATGTCTAGAAAATGCAACAAAGTCTGCATGTGCACCAAGCATGACTGTTGCACCATCAGTCTTTCTGGTTCCGCTGCAGTTGCTCAAAGAGTTCTTCAGAAATGCGTCTTGCTACTGTGGAAGCTCCAAATGACATACCTTGGATTACCATCAGTACTTATTGTTCTTAAAGTTATTGAATAAAGAGTCACTGGTTAGCTCAGTTTGCTGGACAGTTGGTTTGCAATGCAAAGTGATGCCAACAGCGTGGATTCAATTCCTGCACTGGCTGAGGTTACTGTAAAGAACTCTCCTGCATAACTCCCTCCTCGCCAGAGGCATGATGACCCTCAAGTTAAGCCACCCCTAGTTCTCGCTGTCTCACATAAGAGAGAGGAGCCTTATAGTCTGTTAAGATTATGGTAATTTTAACTTTGCCTTTATACTTTGGTGACATAAAAAGTAAATGCTCTAGTCTTTTACAGTTCTGAACAGAAGTTAATTGTTCCTTTCCACATGGAAGCTGAACATTTTGATTTCTTTTCAGATCCAGGTTCATCAATCGTCATTGCTTCACTTTGTAGTTTGTGATGTTACTCTGCAGCTGGCCACACTGCAGGAAGGTCTCTGGATCCACAATAGTGGGACATCCAGAATGCTGCTGACTGCTTTGAGTGTGGAGGCATGGAAAGTTACTTCTGTGGTCACAAATTGTTTCTAGGGCCCCAGTCAACCTGTTTTGCTCAGATATTGGATATGGGTGCTGTGGAGTTCCCTGTAATTTTCTTTGTCCTTGGCTCTATTAGATAAGCACCTGAAGAAAATAACTGCAGGTCCACAGACAATAGGCAGAGGACTGGGATTAGCTGAACTGCTTTTGCAGGAAGTCCACATGGACACGATAGGCTGAACAGTCTCCTTTGTCTCTAGTACTACAACGTACTTGCCTCACAGATCAGCTCCAAGTCTATTTCTTATTAATTTACGTACACTAAAACAGAATGCAACAAACTGACAAAGCCTGTTAAGAGCATGTACTTTTCTCTGACCTCACGTCTTCCCGAAGTGGAAATCGTGCAGGAGCATGACAAGTGATGTGCATGGGGAGATCACGATCAGAAACTCTGTATCTGTATGTTAAAGAACTTGGCTCAAATCCTAAATGAATAGTTCCTGCAATCATGAAAATAACTATTTCAGAGAATTTTTCAGCAGCTGTATAAGAAATTGGCTGTGCAGTCCAGAAAATTGAGACTCTGTTCAGAGTGTTACCTCAATCACCAAACTAACTGAGAGACAGGACATAACTCTTCCACAGTATCTCAATGCAAGGCAGAATTAACGAAGGAACAACACAGCCATCAACTCAAGTCAAACAAAGGAAAATAGCAGTTAGATCTCCTTCCTTCCATTGGAGAGCCCCAGTATTAAAATGGTTCATATATAATTTATACATAGCTAAATTAAACTTACTCCAATTTTGGGGGACAACAGCAACTTGCATTTTATAAATAGCCTTATAGAGTGAAATCATCCCAAGTCACTTCACTAGAACATAATTCTATAACAATTGGCATCAAACTGAAGGAGCTGTTGGGACAGGAGGTTCAGCATTTGGTAAAAAATGTAGGCGTCAAGCTGTATTTATAGGGGAGAGGAAAATAAATAATAAGCAAGCACTTTGGGCCTAAATAGCTGAAGAAATGGCCACCAATGGTGGGAAGGGGAGGTGGGGATGTACAAAACTAGATTGGGAGTAAGCTAAAACTTTTGTAGGGCTGCGGAGGAATTTGAACATAAGGATAACAATTTTCAAATCTGAGTTTTGGAGGACTGGTAGAAGGGATTGTCTGAAACTCCAAATCCTAAATTCAAAATGCGATCCTTGTTCAACATCACTCCTTCACGATTCCTCAGGTAAAGAGGAAAGGCAAAATTTCACTTCTAACAGTCAGCAGATTTCTTTTTCCTGAGAATATAGCATCTTTTGGAAAGATTTAGGATGTGCTATAAAAGAAATCACAAGTACAATTCACTCATGGTGTCAGGTAGTGTACTGGCCAACATGTTCCAATTGGCATGCACCAATTACTACCGTGATATTATAAACTACAGAAGTGTTCATGGATTGAAAGACTCAACAAAGATAAGCAGTTACAAAATGGAAAGGAGCGGCAATAACTGTGTCTGGAATAAACTATTAAGGGACAAGGACAAAGTTATACAGAGATTGAAAGCAATTAGCCACGTTTGGGAAAAGGAGTCGTTGAAGCTACACGAATAAAACTGTTTTGACATCTGCTTGATAACTGGCTGCTTTATGCCACAAGAATAAATGATTGCCCTGCAGAGGAATTTAAGAAGTTACAGAAAATCAGGGTCTTCAAACAGATAGTCAATGCCAAATGTAACAAGGAATAGGGAAGCTACTTCTGGTAAGGCAGCAAGTTGCAGACTCTTGATGGTTTCAGAGGAGTAGTCAATAATTTGGATGAAAGAATCTGGAGAAGCATCAACAATATCATTATACACCTGAAGGACAAAAATAAACTGTATACGAATTCAACTCCAGAACCCTTCATTAGGAGAACTTTGAAGAACACTGCACAAAGATTGAACCCTAGGCAATTCCAGCAACAGACACTGTTGGTTGGAATCATAGCTAAATCCCACCATTAATTGGTAATAGCCAAATTGAGTTGTGGGGCTGAACTTGCTTACTTGAGGGGTCTTATTTTGGTTGCTACATGCAATAAAGTTTAAATTATTGTTTCAGTATTTGCTTGTCTGAGAGACTTAATAAGTAGCTGAATTGAAGGGACCTTCAGCTAATTTACCCACATCACTGCTTAATTATTAAAGCGAATGCAAATCCAATATATTTGTCAGTGTTATAAAATTAAAAACACATAGGTTCTCTTAATATCTTGTTAGGTTTGTCCAGTAAGTGGCCATACACACTAGGAAGATCTGAGCTGTGATTCTTAAATCTAAGTTAATTTAATGAATTTTAGGTACAATATAGGTCTGTAAATGCCCTTCATGTTCCAAGCTAGGAGAGGAAACTCAACTAACATTATCATTTGTAGTCTCAATCAACTGGAAAGGAGTGTATATACTGAGCAAAGACAGTATCAGCCTTTGCTATGGCATGTAGTCCCCTCCCATCCAATATCAAGTAGTCCACTCGTACACGGCACAGTGGCTCAATGGTTAGTACTGCTGCCTCACTGCGCCTGGGACGTGGATTTGATTCCACCCTCAGGCAACCGTCCATGTGGAGTGCACATTCCCCAGGTGACTGGTTATGATTGGATACGGTAAGGGGGTGGGGCTGGTTGCGATGCTCTTTGGACTTGATGGGCCAAATCGTATGCTTCCATACTGTAGGGATTTTATATCTATTCTATATCTACTGACTGCCATGGTTCACACATGAATGATCACCAGGTGTGAAACTTCAAGAAAATTATGTTGCAGCAAAGAACATGAATCTTTAAGAGCAAAAACTATTATAAATTATGGTGAGAAAAAGTACTTCTAAGTAGGAAGCAGCTTCAGTAAGCACTCAATTAAGACAGGTACATTATGTTCCAGTTATAGAGGTGATTAATTGAAACTATCTGGTGCCTTCTTACATAAGTGACAGGAAGTCCAGATAGTGCAAGTGAATAAATACACCACTGTGAATAAATGATACACTGGGGAATGTTCAATCTTATTACCTCCAGAAACACCACCAGCACCTCTTGGAAAGTATTCAGTTAAGGATGCCACACATACCTGTTGAATTTTCTTTGAAAAGTTCTTGTTAGACTTTTCTAGTAACACTTCAAATCTGTTGGTACCTGTTTAAAGAAAGGAAAGACGTATGCAACAAATGAGATTTCAAATAATGCCAGTAATAATTTTTCAGCTCTCTAGATTTATCTAAATTTTTAAGGTCTACCTCCAATTATGTCCCTACAACACTAATTTAGGTTCTAGATAATGAACAAGCAGATCTGGAGTTTCTACTTTTTGGTTGTGTTTTTATTTTGCGGGATTCCTTCAATATTTGTATAACCAAGCCCAAAATGTAAATTGCATTTAATTGACTTTCCTTTTCAAAACTGCACAAATTGTAACTAAGTAAGCAACTCTACCTCCTGTTTTTCTCTTTTATGTATAGAATTAGCACTGTAACCTGCATTTCAATAAACTTTAACAGTTATGATATGGAATCCTCTTAATATGTTCTTCAAACTGCGCATTATTGAAGATTTATTTTTGTATTCTGTGTTTGGAGAGGTATTCTGAACGATGTAAATTCAGGGTGAACTATTGATTGTTACAGATCAGTAATGATGGAAGGAGTAATTGTTGGAAACATATATACAATTCTAAAGTCTTCACTACTATTTTCAAATAAAAATTACATTGTTGACATTCCATTTTGGATCTCTATTCCTCCAGGCTGCTCCATGGATCAGGAACTCAAGAAATCTCCATTCATTTCAATTGATAGGCGCAAACTTTGGAATACAATAGAAACTGATCACAGATTATATATAGATATATACTGTACATATACATTTTCGGTATCACAAATAATCAGATTTACTCTGTGGCAGGCAGGTCTACTGAAGTTCAATTTAATTTTCTGTGGCACCACTCCAATTTCCTGCTGAGATGACATTCATACTTTAGGAATGATGAGTGAAGAATTACAGCCACAAACATAATTTGCAGCACTCCCTGGATCAGACTACCTAATTTGAGTGTATCTGGCAATAACAATTTATTTTAATTGATACTTCCCTCGTGCTTGTCGGTTACAAATCAAGAGCACACTAAAGCAACTTGAAAAGAATAGTCTGGGTGGAAAAGTTTGAAATTATGCAATAGGTTTGCTCACATCTTCTGTCCCTCATTTTACAGAAATCAGAAAATCTTGCACTATATTGTAAATTTGAGATTGAATAGTCTACTTACCTAATTCCTTCTTGATCCTGTAGAGGAGGAGATGTCCTGGCTTAGTGCCGACAAGAAGCCTATCCTCTATGGGGGAAATAGATGAATATAATAAAAGTTGAGATATACATTAAGGATTTGAAGTTACAAAGTATTTGAAAAACCCATCATCATAGACTACAGGGAACTTCTATCCTGAAATGCTCATTTACAGATGCGCTGTTGCTAAGATTCATTGTTATAGCACACATATTTAGTGAATGAGAAATGCTCCCTCTAGACTGGACAATTATGCAACAACTCAAAAGTTTCCGCGAAGGCTGAGTCTGAGTCAGATCCTTTAGAGAGAAGCACATTTGTGGCCATTTGGCTACAAACTACAAAAAAAAGACACGAGTACTAATCCTTTACTTCCAATGTTGTTCAGTTCTGATGAAGGGTCACTCGACCCAAAAGGTTAACTCGGATTTCTCTCCACAGATGCTGAGCTTTTCCAGCAATTTCTGTTTTGTTGTTGTTCACTTCTGTCTGCCTAATATTCTAAGTTCATGCACTCAAGCTACGCCTATCACTATCAGTATGTACAGACATATACAGTAAAAGTACTCTGGGCAAAAACCACAAAAGGAAGGACTGAATTGATAATTTTGTCACTGGTTTCAAAGTGCAAGTGGACTCTGTGCGAAAATTTCACAAAGTCACAACAAATTTCACTATTTGTCAGCAAACCTAGCCAGAGCATGCATTATTCAAAGACAACTAGGGACAGAGAATAAACATATGTCTTTCCAGAGACTTTCATATGCCAGTAATGAAAAAAAAAATGTTTGGCCATTCTCAATTCTCTTCTGAGATTTTTCACAATTCTCATTTGTGGCTCATTTTTACCACTTTTGCTGCTTTGTCAAAATGACACGAGAACGACACACAAGTCTCATGTGCATAATTACACTTCAGGACTTGTGCCTTCCGAACGTTGTAAAGGCTTTGGGAAGTCAGGTGGTGAGTTGCTCGCAAATATTGTCTCTAACATACTCTTGTAACCATGCTATTTATTTAGAGCTTCTTGTCAATTAGAACGCCCCCAGAACATGAACGGTAGGTGATCTAGTTATGTTAATACTGTTTTATGTCAAAGGGAACTGTTAGATTCAAGTCAGGAACTGAAACCAATGTCTTTAGTCTTTCCAATATTTAATTGGATGAAAAATCTGCTCGTCTAGTACAGGATAACTAAAAACATAGCAACGGTACTACAGTCGAGAGTTAGTGAGGAGATTGAGCCAAAAGTATACATGAAAAGTAATGCCATGATTTCAGATGATGTTAATAAAGGGCAGCGTGTAGACGAGAAACTGCCGCGGTGCAAAGATAGATCCTCAAGGAACATCAAAAAGATTGATGTAGGAGTAAGAGAGAAGCCAGTGCAAGTGATAATCTGGTTATGATTGGATAGGTAAGAGTGGGACAAGGCAAGAACAATCCCATCCAGCTGACTGATAAGGAAGAAGTATTCGATGAGGATGGTGTAGTCAACAATGTCAAAGGTTGCTGATTGCTCTCAATCAATGAGAAGGAGAAATCTACCATTTTCAGTCACAAATTTTTGTTTTTGTTAGGAACAGTTTCAGTTGTAGAGGCAGAAACCTGGTTGGAGGGATTTGAAATTGTAACTCTGTAAAGATGGGTTAAGATTTAGGAGGCAACAACATCTTCAAGGATTTTGGAGATGGAAAGGAGATTGGAAATAGCTACTTATTTACAAGGATGGCGAGGTCAAGGGTTTTGTTTAAAAAAGAGCAACAACTACAGATTTAAATGAGAGAGACATTTGAAGAGTGAACAATTCGTGGTTCAGAGGTAGGGGATGTTTTGCTGTCAGCAGATTAGTGGGAACACAGTAATGGGAGTAGAAGTTGAGTCTCATAGGCAAGATGAACTCAGTGCCTTTGAAGGAAAGTAGGAGATACACTGGAGAAAGAGAAGTTCAGGAATGTGGTGAGGCGAGGAACTTTAGAAGAAGTTTAGCCTTATGGACTAATGGAAGTGAAAAAGTCACTTGGTTGATCAGATGGTGCCGACCTTAGTGACAAAAATCTCCACGAGTTCCATTACATGAAGGCAGAGCAGGTGCGAAAAAGGTGTTAAAGCCAAGAATAGAAAGCTGTGAGTTACCTCTGCATTCAGTGTGATTTTAGAATTGTGGCTATTTTTAGCAGGCAAGAGCAAGATCAAATAATGCTTTACGAGGTCAAGTCAATTGCTAAACATTCATCACATCCATTCAAGCCTGTGTACTGCTAGACTTCAGAGATGACAGCCCTACCAGGGGAACAGCCAGGGTATGAGAGAATATTATTTACTGGGGACAAAGGCATCGAAGGTAGAAGTGTGGTAGAGCAAATCAGTAGCTGCAGAAATTGTGGTGAATGGACTGCCAAAGTTAGTCAGTTGAGGTTTTTAAAAATACAAATGAACTGGTGGGTATTATTTTTCAGGTGCACATATGAGAAGTAGAGCTGAGACATAGAAGGGAAATGTGGTGTAGACTGATATGGGGGAAGTGATCAGAGATGGTGTTATCAAGTCCTTTTTAACATCTTAAACATCTCAATTTGGTCACCTTTAATCAAAGGAAAACCAAGTGTAGTCTATATATCCCTGTCCTTTCTTTTGCAAAAATTGCTCTTAATTGAATATGCACAGTACTCCTTCCTAATTCAACGTATCCTTCCTGGGCTGCAGTGCCAGAGTTCACTGAGTGCACTTAACCAAAGCTTTAAACAACTAGCATAATTTTAGCCCTTTTGTATCAAGCCTATTGAACTTTTTAATTTTTCTATAACTGGCTTGTGGATTTTGTATGTGGACCCCTAATTCCTTCTGTAGCAGAATTGTCGCAGTTTCTTACGACTGAAGATTGATCGATTGATCTATTATCACGTGTACTGAAATACAGTGAAAAGCTTTGTTTACAAGCAGTACAGGCAGGTCACAGCAAGCAAAGGATGTACAGATCAAAAAGACTCAGAGGCATACAGGTTACATTATTTGAGGCTAGAGTCCACTCAACAGTCTGATAACGGCCGGAAAGAAGCTGTTCCTGAACCTGCTCATGCGGGTGTTCAGGCTTCTGGATCTTCTGCTTTACGGAAGAGACTGCAAGAGGTCATTACCAGGGTACGATGTGTCTTTAATGACTTTGGCCACCTTTCCACGGCAGCGAGCCATGTAAATTGAGTCCACGGATGAAAGGCTGGCTTCTGTGATGGTCTGGGCTGTGCACACCACCTTCTGTAGTTTCTTACAGTCCTGGGCACAGCATTGCCATAACAGGCCGTTATGCTTCTGGATAGAATACTTTCAATGGTGCATCTGTAGAAGTTGGTGAGGGACCTTATGGACATGCCAAATTTTCTGAGCCGCCTGAGGAAGAAGAGGCGTTGTTGCACCTTCTTGACTGTCACATTTACGTGGGAAGTCCAGGATAGGTCGTCGGTTATCATCACTCCATGGAACTTGAAGCTCTTCACTCTCTCAACCTCAGTTCCATTGATATAGATGAGGCGTGTTCTCCTCCTTGCTTTCTGAAGTCGATGAGCAATTCTTTAGTTTTGCTGATGTTGAGAGACAGATGGTTTTCATTACACCACATCACCAAGCACTCCAGCTCCCTCCTGTATTTTGACTCGTCATTGTTAGATATCCGGCCCATTACAGTGGTTTTGTCAGTGAACTTGTAGGTGCTCGTTTGGAATTTGGCAACACAGTCGTAGGTGTACAGGGAGTACAGTAGGGTGCTGAGGGTGAAACCTTCCGGGGGGCTCCAGTGTTGAGTATTATTGTGGAGGAGGTGCAGTTACCTATCCTCACAGAAAGCTGAGGATCCAGTTGCAGAGGGTGGAGCCGAGACCAATGTCATGCAGTTTTGAGATCAGTCTGGAGGTGTTGAAGACGGAACTGTAGTCAACGAGCAGGAGTCTGACTAGGTGTCTTTGTTGTCCAGATATTCCAGGGATGAGTGCAGGGCTAGGGATATAATATCCTGTGGACCCGATATGTCGGTAGGCAAACTGTAGGGGATCAAGGCAGTTGGGAGACTGGAGTTGATGTGGGCTATGGCCAGCCTCTCAAAGCACTTCATGATTATTGTAGTCAGACCTATTGGGTGGTAATCATTAAGGCACACTGCACGTGTTTTCTTGGGTACAGGTTGATGGTGGTCTTCTTGAAGCAGGTGGGGACTTTGAATTGTAGGAGGGAGAGGGTGAAGACATCGGTGAACACCTCTGCCAGTTAGGCTGCACAGGATCTGAATGCTCGGCTGGGGACAACGTTTAGATCCGTCACTTTCCTTGGGTCGACTCCCAGGAAGACTGATCTAACTTCTGAACTGTTGACAGAGGGAACAGGTATGTTTGGGGCTGTCACGCAGGTGTCACCATGCCAGTGGCAATCTGCTCAAATAGAGCATAGAAAGCACTGAGCATATGAGGGAGGGATGTGTCATTGCCTACCAGCTTACACTGTTTCATTTTGTATCCCATAATGTTGTTTAGGCCTTGCCACAGATGGCTGGAATCTGTTTGGTAGGTCTGGGCCTCTAACTTGGTCTGGTACAGCATCTCGGCCTCTCTGATCATATCCGTATTGGTCCGGGTCACACAACTGGAATGCTGCACTTGAATGTAAGGGATTATTATAAGAGGTGTGATAGCACTGGAGAGGGTGCACAGGAGATTTACCAAGATGTTGCCTGGGCTGGAGGTTCAGTTAAAAAGAGAGATTACGTTGACTGAGGTTGCTTTCCTTAGAGTAGAGGAAATTGAGGGGGGGACCTGACTGAGATATATGAAATTGAGGGAAATTGACAGGGTAAACAGGAAGAAACTTTTTCCCCCTTGATGAAGGGACTGGGGTCACAGATTTACAGCAAGGGCCAGATGGTTTAAGAGGAGATGTGAAGAAAAACTTTTTCACCCAGAGGGTCATGGAAATCCAGAGCTCATTGCCTGTAACAGATGTGGACATGCGATGCCAAGGCATACAAAGATCTGAGCAAAGTACTGGAAAATGGGATCAGAATAGTTGGGTGGTCGTTTTGGGCTGGCATGGATGTGATGGGCTGAAAGGCCTTTTCCCATGCTGTAGATCCCCGTGACTATTTATGAAATATTTTGACTTATCTCGTTAGGTCCAAAGAGGAAAATCTCATTTTCCCCAATAGCGAATTCTATCTGTCACATTTTGTCTAGTCTTACAATGCATTTAAAATTTGCAACTCTGCTCTCACCTAGACTATTTAATGAGCCACCTAAAATAATGTCATCAAACTTGACTAGATGAGTTTCTATTATCTTTCCAGGCTCTACAGCAATGCTGCCACATCTTGTTGACATTCACTCTCAAGGCTGATACATAAGTAACTTGATTACTTGGGAAAGAAAGTTAGATGAGCTTTCTACAGAGTTGTGAACACAGCCCAGTCCATCGCACAAGCCAACCTTCCATCCATCGACTCCATCTAGACTTCTCGTTGCCTTGGAGAGGCAGCCAACATCAAAGACCCCTCCCACCCTGGTTATAATCTCTTCCAACCTCTTCCGTCAGGCAGAAGATACAAAATATTAAACACACATACCAACAGGTTCAAGATCAGCTTCTTCCCCTCTGTTATTAGACTTCTGAATGGACCTCTCAAATTCCAAATCTAATACTGATCTTGCTTTTTGTGCACTTTCTTTGCAGCTGTAACTTTGTATTCATCAGTGTGTTCAATCACCCTATTATCTTTGATTGAATGATCTGCCTGTACGGCACACAAAACAAAACTTTTCACTTCACCTAGATACACGTGACAATAATAAATCAAATCAAATTCCATAAGTGGTTTTGATCAAACACTGAAACAGTCCGTGTCCACGTGCTGCAAGATGTGAACATTCAGGCTTGGACTGATAAGACACTAAATCCCTATAGTGTGGGAGAAGGTCATTCGGCTCATTGAGTCCACACCAACCCTCTGAACAGCATCACACTTAGACCCACACCCTACCCTATCCCTGTAACCCTGCAATCCCTATGGCTAATCCACATAATCTACACATCCCCGAACACTACAGGCAATTTAGTATGGCCAATCCACCCAATCTAACATCTTTGGACCATGGGAGAAAACTGGAGTACCTGGAGGAAACCTAAATAGACACAGGGAGAATGTGGAAACTCCACACAGTCGCCTGAAGGTGGCAAGTAACTTTTCACCATACAAGCGCCAGGCAGTAATAGATATCTAATAACTCTTCTTGACATGTAACGGCATTTACGAATTCTGAATTATCAACACTGAATTCTCAACCATCAACCCTCTGGAGTTAGCATGGGCTAGAAACTTAACCGTACCTGATATATAAGTACTATTGTACAACTGCAATTCGGAGACTAAGAATTCTGCAGTAGTTAACTCAGCATTGACTTCCTAAAGCTTATCCAGCACCTTCAAGCATGTCAGCAAAGTGGTGGAATACTTTGGAATATTTGCTGGGATGAGTACAGCTTCAACAACACTCAAGGAACTCAATCCAAGGTAAAAGGGGAAGCACACAAGGCATCTCACCCATCATCGGCACACAGTGGCAACAGGATACATCATTTAGAAGATGCAATGCAGCAACTCACCAAGGATCATTCAACAGCTCTTTCCAAACCCATGAACTCTACCACCAGAAAAAACAACGGTAAATGATGCATGGGAACATGACCTGCAGAAATACCCCTCCAAGACACAGGTGATCTTGAGACAGAACAGCACATGGACTGTAGTTGTCCAATAAATCAGCTTAGCACCACCTTCTCAAAGGCAATTAGAGATGAGCAACAAATACCGGTTTTACAAACATGAACAAATAAAAAAAGCTGTTAAAACAGAATCTTCCTTGGCCATGGTATTATCCGAAGAGGGGTTTCAGAGACCTCTGGTGCCCAAATGCCTTCCCAACAGTTCCAAAGCTATGATGAACTGGTTATTCAGCTCACCACCAACTATTTGTGGTATACTGCTTTATTTACCTGAGTAAACATTACTTCACCTCCAAGTAAATCAGTGCAAGAGAAGCTCTTTGGGATAGTTCTGTGATCCAATGGACTAGATCAATCTGATGAAGGGTCTAGGCCCGAAACGTCAGCCTCTCTGCTCCTATGATGCTGCTTGGCCTGCTGTGTTCATCCAGCCCTGCACCTTGTTGTCTCGGACTAGATCAATAACAGTCACTTTGTTCAAGTACAGGATAAGCGCATGGCTACTGAACAGGAGTGATTGATGCTATCAACATTTTCTTATGGCTGACAAACATTGTCACGATGAAAGATAATGAATAACAAATGGAAAGGAAACACACATCACCCTCCAGAGATGTAAAGTGTGAAACTGAAAAGGGCAAAACAGGGCATTGTTTTTTTCAAGATAAACCAGAAACAGGCTCTACCCAAGATGAAGAATTTGCTAAATCACTCATCGAATTATAGAATCCCTACAGTGTAGAAACAGGCCATTTGGCCCAACAAGTCCACACCGACTCTCCGAAGAGTATTCCACCTAGACCCACCCCTCCCCAACTTATCCCTGTAACCCTGTATTTGCCAATCCACTTAACCGACACATCTCTGGACACTATGGGCAACTTAGCGTTGCCATCACCCAACCTGCACATCTTTGGACTGTGGGAGGAAACCGGAGCAATCAGAGGAAGCCCACGCAGACACGGAATGTGTAAACTCCACACAGACAGTCGCCCGAGGCTGGAATTGAACCCGGCTCCCTGGTGCTGTGAGGCAGCGGTGCAAACCACTGAGCCACCTTGTTGAGATTTTCGCTTCAATTTTAGGCTGGTTACTCTGATGTCATCAATCGGCGACAAAAACTTTCCCGGCCCCTCCCCCAAGGTATGAACCCAGTTTTTAATCGTTGATCGGTTCGTAAACGACGGTTCTCCAATGTCACCTTTGAACTTCGGCATCCCGAAAAAGACCCGGTCCCATTATCCCGGAATCCACTCGCCTTTCCTCCGTTAAGCAGTAGCATTCATCCGCGTCGCCATACGTACGGTTGTCTAACACACACAGACAGACACAAATCGCCCCTTACCCCAGGCCGCTATGCAATCGATTTGCAAAGGCAGCTTCTCCAAAATCGGCACCGGCTCGTACGCGTCGTGCATCGCGGCGACGGAGACCGCCCGCACTCAACGGCCAGCGGAACAAACTCCAAGCAGCAGCTTGGGGCGCACGCGCGCTACCGCTGGCAGAAGTGAGCGCGCGCTTAGTCCCGTGACTCTCACTAACCGCTCTCGCTTGTCGCGCGCGCGCGCTGCCGCTGCCAATGCTCCTTAATTCCTGTCCAGTTCACATGTCGCAACTGACCGAGCCGGCGTGGTATAACAACAACCGAGCAGTCTCTGCAGAAACAGCTATCTCACACTGAGACAATTACAAGTGAGTGCCTTTTAGCAGTTTGCGTGAGCGATATTCCTCAGCGGGGGGCGGAGGATGGTCATTCGTTGTTCACTGTGATCACTCTGTTCAGAGATGCAGTTACACACTTCTGGAGCAGGTGGGACTTGAACCCAAGTCTCCTGGTTAAGGGACATTACCACTGCGCCGCAACGGCCGTTGATGGGTGGAAGGGTGTTGGTTGAGCCTCAAATTTAGGTCCTTTACATTCTAAGCAAGGAGAATGCGAAGTCGAGAACTGTCTTCAGGTGTAGATATCAATGTATTTATTGCACCTTATGTGCAACTGTAGATGGGTAATCATAGATATACAAGGCACTGATATATAGTGCCAAGTACGAGTTCAATTTCCATAAAACCATCATAAATTGGAACAGAAGTAGGCTATTCGGCCCTTCGGGTTTGCTCTGCCATTCAACAGGATCATGGTTGACCCAACATTGCTCATGTCCACTTTGCTGCTTTTTTTCCCGTAATCCTTGATTTCCCCTACTGATAAAACATCTATCTCAGCCTTAAATATACACAATGACTCTACACACGCAGCTCTCTGTGTCAAGGAGTTCCAAAGACTCTGAATCCCTTGAGAGAAGACATTCTTCCGCAGGGCAGCTCGGTAGTTTGCACTGCTGCTGCATAGTGCCAGGGACCTGGGTTCTATTCCACCCTCTAGCAATGGTCTGCGAGGAGTTTGTTCATTCTCCCGTGTCTGTTTCGGTTTCCTCCAGATGCTCCAGTTTTCTCCCACAGTCCAAAGATGTGCAGGTTAGGTGGATTGGCCATGGGAAATGCAGGATTACAGGGATAGGGTAGGTGAGTGGAATACTCTTCAGAGGGTTAGAGTGGACTCAATGGGCCAAATGGCCTGCTTCCACACTGTATGGGTTTGTACGATCTTTAGGGGACTCTTCTAGAAAAACGGTAGCATCTTGATCTCTGAGCCGGGGGCCTGGGTTCCAGTCTCGTGCTCTGGAGGTGTGTAATATCTGAACCTTTGCCCGCTAGTTCTAGACTTTCCCCCATGAGGGGAAACATTCACCATTTACACTGTCAAGCCCTTTTGCAATCTTATATGTTTCAATGAGATCATTTTGGATTCTTCTGAATTCCAAATAGTAGGATCCCACCTGTTTAACCTTTCTCATAATGTAATCTCTCCATATTGGGGATCACCCTAGTGAATGTTCTGTAATCTGCCTCCAACTAATTAGTATCTTTCCTTAAATACAGGGACTAAAACTGCTAACAGTACTCCGATGCGATCTCACCAGCACCTTGTACAGTTGCAGTAAGACTTTCCAACTAGTATATCCAAACCCCTTGAAAAATGTCAACGTTCAATTACTCTTCCTAATTACCTTATGCACCTGTGTGCTAGCTTTTTGTGCACAATTACCCCCAACTCTCTTTCTGTTGCAGCTTTCTGCAGTTTTTCTCCATTTAAATGATATTTTGTTCTTTTGCTCTCCCTTCGAAAATGAACTTCACATTTTCCCATGTTATATTCTATTTGCCAACTTTTTGCCCACTGACGTAATCTATCAATATCTGTCTAAATTGTTTGTGACCTCTTCACAACCTTCCACCTGTTTTTGTGTTGTCTGCAAATCTGGCTACGATACATTCGCTTCCTTGCAGTACTCAACTGGTCACAGGTCACCAACCTGAAAAAAGAACCCCATATCACTGTAATAGACCAAGGATAGAAAGGTCAGCATGTGAGAAGTTGGAGAACTGAAAAGAAGACTTTTAGATTGACTTTTCCTTTGGCTGCCAATTTGACTGTGACTGACTCTGTTTGGAGTCATACTGAACACAGAGGAAGATGATTGTGGTTATGGGAGGTCAATCATCTCAGTGTCAGGACATCATTGCAAGAGCTCCTTAGGGTAGTGCCCTAGGCCAACTATCTTCAGTTTCTTCATCAATGACCCTCCCTTCATAAGGTCAGGAGCAGGGATATTCACTGAAGATAATGTAATATTCAGCCCCATTTGTGACTCTTCAGATACTGAAGCAGACCTTATAGGTATGCAGCAAGACCTAGACAACATCCAGGATTGTGCTGATAAGTGGCAAGTAACATTCATACCACACAAGTGTCGCAACCATCTCAAGCAAGAAAGAATCTAGCCATTGCTACTTGACATACAATGGCATTACCATCACCGAATCCAGCACTATCAACATTCTGGGAGTTACCATTGACCAGAAACTGAAGTGGACCAGTCAAAAAAATAAATTTGGCCACAATCAGGTCAGATGCTATGATTTTTGTGGTGAGAAAGTTGCTTTCTGTTCACCTAATGCCCGTCTACTATGAGGCATATGTAAGGAGTGTCATGGAATTTCTCCACTTGCCTGGATGAATGCAGCTCCGAAAACACTCAAGAAATTTGACATGATCCAGGACAAAACAGACTGCTTAATTGGTACCCTATCTACCACCTTCAACATTCTCTACTTGCACCACTGTGTACAATGGCAGCACCTTTTAGCTTTCACAAGATGCACTGTAGTAACTCACCAAGGCTCCTCAAACAGCATCTTTGTAAATCAACAACCTCTACCATCTAGAACGACAAGGGCAGCAGACACATTTGAACACCTCTACCTGCAAGTTGCCCTCCGTCACCATCCTGACTTGGAAGTATGCTGCCATTCCTTTACTATTGCTGGGTCAAATCCTAGAACTCCCTTTCTCCCAGCACAGTGGGTGACCTTGCACCCCAAGAACTCCAGTGATTCAAGAAGACATCTCACCACCACTTTCTCCAGGGCATTTAGAAATGGACGATAAATGCTGGTCTGTGATCATCAATGCCTGCATCCATTAGTGAATAATCAGAAATGTTGGATATTCTGATGACAACCCTGGTTTAAAAAAAAATGTCCTTTAACATAGACATATAATATATATATAAACATGTCTTATTGCACTTTCTGCTAAGTGCCATTATGAACATTTATGTAAGCTTATCATGCTGAATTTTCATACGTCTGCCAGTGGATGCTTATTGCTGGAGTCCTGCAGTATGAAACAGAGCTCACATAATTATTAGATCATCCCACGTCTTAAAAAAAAAAGTGGAATGTAAGAATTCCCTGCAACTTTGAATTACGTATTTTATGATAAATGAGCTACATTAAAATATAAATTGCAATGTGCTTCCATCCTTGCCTCTCTGAAACTGTTTATTAAAATGTATTTTTCTATTCAATTAGCAATAGTCAGCCTCGAATTTCTGTGTATCTTAGTCAGTGGGTGTGGAAGTGATCTTGTGACCAGCTCTTATGAATGATTCACATTGCTATTATTCATTGGATTGGCCTCAACTTGAGGATGTTACTTGTGAGCAGCATACTTTGGAAAGGATGTGAAGGCAATAGAGAGTGATTCCAGGGGTGAGAAATGTCAGCTATATCGGTGGATTGGAGAAATTCTCCTTTGGAGTAATGAAGTTTGAGAGGAGATTCAGAATCTTGAGAGTCTGGACAGAGTAGATACGGGAAAAACTGTTGCCATTGGTGGAAGGATCAAGTACCAGAGGACACAGATTTAGAGCAATTAACAAAAGAAGCAATTGAAACATGAAAAAAAACCTTTTCAAGCAGTGATTTGTTTGGATCTTGGATCAAGTGCTTGAGAATGAAGGCACGGTCAATTGAGGTTTTTGAAATGCAATTGAATCATAATTTTAACAGAAAAAAATTGCTGGATTAAAAGGGAAAAACAGGAGAGTGGAATGAAGTGAATTGTTTCTTTAGAGGGCCAAAATAGACAAAGTGGGCAGAATGGCCTTCTTTTGTGCTTTGTACCTGTGATAAGGGTTCCAGAGAATTTTTGTGAAAGCTGCAAGAATTATTTGCATGTTTATCATATCGTACAATATATGTTGTTAGTAGAGACTATTAATGTATAAAGACAAATTTGAATACCCAGTTATCACCTGAAATATATTATTTCAGATTTCCATGTTTTAGACAAAAACAAGCTATACTGTACATAAAGATAACTTGAACAAACAAGAACTGCTAACCATGCTAAGGCTTAGAGTATAAACCCAGTTCACCTTTCCCTTCCTAATTCCACACAAGAGTTTTTTATACATTGATATCTTGAGGTTCCATTTACTTCCCCTTTTTGGGATCAAAGAGAGAATGCTGTCTAGAATTCATTTTTATTTCACGTCAGCTCTCTGGTTATTCTCTGAGGCTTGAGACTTCATGGGGATCCCTTCAGCGGCTTTTAGCTGCCCTCTAACTATTCTTCAAAACAACTCAGTTCAGGCTTGGGCGTCACTGTACTTGTGCTTAGTGATTTTAAAAATCAGGATACTGCTGTTTCCTAATAGCTTATATCCTCCTTGTCCTGTTTTTGGACACGCATGTGTTGCATTCTACTTGTGTGCTCCCAACCTAACTGCCCTTCCACTATGGGAGTTACTGTAGATTTCTTCTTAATCTCCAAGTTAGGAAAATCTTTTTGTCTTTTTTAACCCAGGAACTCTGTCTCCAAACCAAGCATGAGATCCTTCCCGCAATCTACACTTCCAACAATAAATCTACTAGTTGCTGTTCTTAAGGTACAGGCTGAGCTAATATTTAGCTTTATCGGACCCTCGGCTCTCAGTAAGCTGCAAACTATTACAAGACTAAAGTTGGAACTGTCTCTGCCATATTCATGAGTTTATTAAAAACATGTAACTTGATTCCAAAAATGAATTCCTCTTATTCCTTTCTCCTTGGCAAGCGAAACACCTAGTCCTGTCTCCAAGTAGAAATGTTGGCAGACAAT